GTCTATGTAAAAAGCGTCTGTGTAAAAGCTTCTGTGTGTAAAATCTTCTGTGTGTAAAAGCCTCTGTGTGTAAAAGCTTCTTCTGTGTGTAAAAGCCTCTGTGTGTAAAAGCGTCTGTGTGTAAAGCCGTCTGTGTGTAAAGTTTCTGTTGTGTAAAAGTGTCTGTGTGTCAAAGCATTTGTGTGTAAAAGTGTCTGCGTGTAAAAGCGTCTGCGTGTAAAGCGTCTGCGTGTACAAGCATCTGGGTGTAAAAGCGTCTGTGTGTAAAAGCGTCTGTGTGTAAAAGCTTCTGTGTGTAAAAGCTTCTGTGTGTAAAAGCTTTTGTGTGTAAAAGCCTCTGTGTAAAAGTGTCTGTGTGTAAAAGCTTCTGTGTGTAAAAGCTTCTGTGTGTAAAAACTTTTGTGTGTAAAAGCGTCTGTGTAAAAGCTTCTGTGTGTAAAAGCGTCTGTATGTAAAAGTGTTTGCGTGTAAAAGTATCTGCGTGTAAAGCGTCTGCGTGTACAGCGTCTGTGTGTAAAGAAACCTGTGTAAAAGCCTATGTGTGTAAAAGCGTCTGTGTGTAAAAGCTTCCGTGTGTAAAAATGTCTGTGCGCAAAAGCTTCCGTATGTAAAAGTGTCTGTGTCTAAAAGCATCTGTGTGTAAAAGCGTCTCTCTGTAAAAAGTTCTGTGTGTGAAAAGCTATTTGAAAGATACGATGCAAACTATTGTCTTGTACTTGTGCTATATTGTCTTCATACTCCTCTTCTCGTCTGCCTATAACATCTTTAATATATTGTTTTGTAATATGGTGTCTCCATACTAACAAGAGAAGACCCTGCTCCTCTACGCTCTGGGGCCATCCGTCGTCTAGTTTTAATTTTATAATGCTGTGGATATATCAATAGGCAGCAGATTTGCAACATCTTCAAACCACCCAGCCAGCCCTGCAGAGCCTCAGGTAGCTGAAAGCACTCGGCTGAGGAGTGGTAGATATCGCCATCGCGACCTCCACAGGCAAAGAGATGCCCACCTCAGCTGGCAATGCAAGCCCTCAGCCACAATGCCACAAGCTTCAAAAGAAAAGATTCGAGACCAGTCGAGACCAACATTGACTAACTGTGACCGCTCGGTTTTACCACTGTTTGGTGCACTTCAGCATTGTGCCGGCGAAGCAATGTTGGCCTCGACCAAGGGGTGAAACTGACATGTTGGCAGGTATTCAAATTCGACCTGTGCCTGCCGCTCATAACCACAAAATGCCACATAGCATTCAGCCGGTCAGCTTCGAGACATCCTTCCCGATCTTCATCGCCAGCTCATCACATGCTTTCTGGGAAAGCATTGTCTCCATCTTCTGGGTGGGGAGGTCATGGGCCTCCCATCCCCTGAAGCCGCCCTCCAGGATCATCACGCGCTGCTTGGTTGGGCAGCTCTTTCGGTAGAAGTTGGCGACCTCGTTGCTTTGGTTTTCCCCTGCTGAAACTGTTGCTCTTGAAGGGGCTTTTGGTACAACTCTTGAAATCAGAAAACAAAAATGCACAGCAAGCATGTTGTTACAATCCATCCAGCCGCCGACGGAGCCCTATGCGCCGAGTACTGGCAAAAGAAAGCCACGATCGGCTGGTGCCGAAACTTCTTCACATACGTCTGGATCTCCTTGAGGAGATCCATGGCCGGAACATGAACTGTCCCTGCGATGTGGCCGCTTGCGCGGTCTTCACCGCGAAGGTCGACCACAACCATATTTTGCTGATTCCTAAGCTTGGGCACACCAAAGAAATCCAAAGAATGCAGAATCTTGTGGCGACAAAACACGGGAAAACCATAACTTCCGATGTGCAAACCAACATGAGAGAATCTCTTGGAACCCAGGATATGCATGTAAAACCGACTGGAACAACTAAACAAATTGACAAAAACTTGAAGATCTTGAAGAAGCTCTGCTCCCAAAATGTCTTAAAATCCACCGGGTGCATGCCTTCCACACCTGCATCTCTTGGAACCTGGCCATCGATCAGAGGCAGCTCCTTCCGCTGTGGGGTTGTAACCTTCATGGAGAGCAGTTGTGGTTTCGGGAGGCCCGTGTTCGGCTTTTGGTGTCCTGAGGTGCTGTGGAGCGGGGCCGCATAGACCCATTGCGATGGCTTCGCCACAGGCTTGACCACGGTTTTGACGATGGGCGTTGGCATCGCCACTGGCATCGCCATGGGCCCCGCAGACACTGTCTTCAACTGAGCGGGCAGCTGATGCTGCACCTGCCCCACAAGCCATGGCTGCGCTGGCCGCGCATGCAACAGCACCGCTGGCTGCCTGAGCACGGCCTGCTGCAGCACCAAGCGTGGCTGCATCGGCTGCATCGTCTGCATGGAAAGAGCGGAAGGGGAGGCGCCGCAGTCGAAGCTGAACGGTTTGATCTGTAAATGTGGCACCTGCAAAGTGTTTGCGTCAACCTGAAGATCTCATTATATATATATATATATTTTTTTTTTGTTGTTCATGTCTTGCTTTTTAGCTCACCCTTCTCCCTTTCCTAAACCAAGGAAAAGACTTTGCTTCAAGACTGCCACTACTGTATGAACTTCTGAACTCCGAGGGGAGACCCATGTCCTGCAGGGGGTTTTTTCTAGCCACCTTCTAGATAACTCACTTGGGCAGCCATTTCCTCAGGTCCCAAACGTAAGGCTACCAAGCCAAGGCCGCCTGGCGTCAGATTCAACTTGGCCAAAACAACAACACAAAAACAACAACAACAACAACAACAACAACAACAACAACAACAACAACAACAACAACAACAACAACAACAACAACAACAACAACAACAACAACAACAACAACAACAACAACAACAACAACAACAACAACAACAACAACAACAACAACAACAACAACAACAACAACAACAACCAACAACAACAACAACAACAACAACAACAACAACAACAAACAACAACAACAACAAACACACACAACAACAACAACAACAACAACAACAACAACAACAACAACAACAACAACAACAACAACAACAACCACAACCACAACCAACAACCAACAACCAACAACCAACAACCAACAACCAACAACCAACAACCAACAACCAACAACCAACAACCAACAACCAACAACCAACAACCACCACCACCACCACCAACAACAACAACAACATCATCGTCATGAGTGCATACGCAAAGCTCATCATGGCACATTGATACACACCATGTATACCCTACCTGCTGGGTTGAATAACGCAGTGTGTTCCCGTAACAATCGAAAATGGCATTATGTTAATGCTCAAACAAAGGCCAAGAGTAAGCAATGACCCCGGTGGAATCCTTGCTCAAAGTGGGGATCATGTAGTCCACCCCCTTGAACTTCTCAAGTTCTTTCATCTTGTCCCAAGCCTGCATGAGGGGTGTCCACCAGTCCTTCCCCGTAAAGGAATAGGTGGGAGCCAGCAATGGCACCGGCGTCTTCTTCGACCGGAAAGCTGTTTTGGTCTGCCATGCTTGTAGTTCAATTGTCCCCCCGTGGAATTTGTAGGCCGTGGGTATGGTGTGCTGAAGGTCATTGAACCGGGCACTGCATGCTACTTGGAAGCGGACCACACTGCAGATGTACTGGTCAAGGACTGCATTGGCGCTAGGGCCCTCCCCGATTCCAGATGGGTTAGGGCCTGGCCTTGCCGCTACCTCTTCCAGCGTCCAAATGACCTCTTTTCCTCTGGGGCTTTGCCACCGTGTCCACCCCCTCCTCCTGGAGGGTCTTCTTCTTCTCCATGAGCCGTTCACAGGCATCAATCCTGAGGAAACCAAACCTCTTTGAGAACCATCGCAATGTCTCCCACACTCGTTGGATCTTGTGTGGAGAGGCCTCTTCCGATCTCATCTTGTTGAGATGCTCCCGAACATCAGCTTCGGACCAGGGGATCTGTGTAAAATCACCGGTTTGGAGGTTCTCTAATGCAAGGCAGTCGATCCTCAAAGTTCTGAACTTGGTGTCCCCAATAGGTCCAGCCATTCACCTTCTTGGTTCGGTCCCATCACTGAGGCCATATTCGGTATCTTGTCTGCAAAGGGTGCCAGCAAGGAGATAAGTCTCTGTGCCCACTTGAGGCGGAGCTCCTTCTCGAGCTGCCTTTGAGTGAAAGGGTCAGACTCCTGGAGTTGTCTCGGTTTCCAGTGTCTCCACTTCGCAACTGGTGTTGGAAGGCTAGGCGGAGCAACACTGTAGATGGCCCAGTTCTCCCTGTCTGAGTCCTGTCTGCCAATGCTCTTCTATTTTCTACCAAGTCATAGAGGTAGGTGGGTTTTCCTCCCGAGACAAATTTCAAGAGGCCAGACTGCCAGACAGAGCATCCCTCGCGGTGTCTGTGTCTTCATCCTCCATCGGTGGGGTCACCTCCTCCAGGGCCAGGGAGACCAGCCAGTCAAAGTGGTCAGTCTTGGTTACGGTCTCAAGGGTCCACCCTGTGAGGTCCTCCTTGAGCATCATGTGTTTGAATGTCACCGCCCCAACCGGTGCATTGTTCTCGTGGGCATAACACATCTCTAGTAGAAGTTCACCGTCTGATTGGATGGGAGCTATCCTCTGTTTTAGGAGGGCTCTCCGAACATAGTCCGGGGCCTTCACTAGCGCCTTACCGAAGGGAGTGGCCAAGCGCAACGGAGGCCCTTCCCCGCCATGTCTGTTGGGCTTGAGCCGTTGTGTTTTGAAAGTCTTGAGCCGTGGTGTATTGAGGTCTTGAGCCTTGGTGTTTGGACAGAAGTCCACTTCGAGCCAAGAAATGAAGAAAGGGATGAAAGGAAAAACCGGTCCCAATGCAAAAACGAGTCCCGGATTCACACAGCCATGCTGTGCAGGCCCTCAAAAAAATGCAAAATTAAATGACATCGATCACAGTTCCCTGATTCACTCAGCAAAGGAGTACGTCCCCCAAAGGTTGCAAAATAAAGTGACATCACTCAGGCGTCGGAAAAATCACAACGTGGACAGCAGGACCCTGGGAGGAAAGAGGAGAGAAAAATCAAAAGGGTTCATGCCAACCTCAGCAGCAGCTGCACTTTTTTACGCAGGCGGCTGAGCCTTAGCCAGAACGGGCTCAGCAAGGTTGGTGCAAAGCCAAAAATCAAGGCTTGGTCTGGCCAGTGCCGCTTGGATCCAGGAAATAGACGCCTCCGGCTGTTCATTTCACCGGCGTCCTCACCATATATCTCGCTCATTGGCGGTTCACACGCTTCGCCGCCAGCTGCTGGATCTTCAGGAGCCCATCGCGTTCCGGGTTGCTCAGCAGCACGCCCCAGATCAGGTCGGAGACTCTACCCAAATTGTTCTGCACCGAGAAGCGGAGGCGCTCAGTCACTGGGTAATTAGTCCAAGTCCAAGGCCTCGTCGCGGATCACACTAACGGGCTCAACCCTCAGGATAGTACTCCATCCTGTCTTGAATCCACTTCTGGTACAGTGGCTCCGGGGGGTCGTCCAAACTGAGCTGCAATGCCAATTTGTTCTGGCCAGAGCGGCCAAGGAGCTGGACCACTCTGCTGCTGCCTGCTTTGGCTTTTCAGAAGCCGTCGCAATACTTGCAGGCAAAGCCCCCAGCTTTCTTCACCCGTGCTCCTTGGGGACACGCCCAGGGGCTGACCAAGCTGAGCACCAGCCCACATTCCATCTTGCCCAGAAACCGTGGAGATTGTGGTTGCCAAAGTGCTTCTGTCTGGATTCCGTCTCCTCCGCCGAGTAGCCCAGCTTGGCATAGAAGCTCCTGGCCACATCCTCATCGTGTAGCAGGGAGCACCACCGCCAGTTGACTTTGACCTCCACCATGGCCTCTTGGGTACCAAACTGGGAGCCAGCTTGGCGTAGACCGTGTCCAACTCTCCCGGAAGGCACTCAATGGGAGGCTGATTCGTTGGTCGCAGATCGCCCTTTCCCGCATGTGGGACTTGGTGTCGTGGGGGGAGCTCCATCACACAGGAAGGGGTGTGCGTGAGGAACGATTGGGCCGCCAGGAACTTGCCCATCTCCTTGTACAGATGCCTCCAAGAGTCAATGTCGGAGGGGAGATACTTGCCCAACTCCTGAACAAACGTCTTCACTTCCTTCTTGATGATCAAGTGGCGCTGGAGCTTGTTCCGGCTCTTCTCCGCGCTATGCTAGCTGCTAGCCTCGGCTGGAGGCTGCCATGGCCAGGGGCATCTGCTGCCCATAGATGTCCTTCAGAGCGTTCTGGTGTGCCACCTGTGGCACAAGCTGGGAAAACTCCACGTGGACACAGCCCCATGCCAAAACCAATTGGATCCTTCAGGACCGGGGGCCCAGAACAGCTTCTGGATGGTGTCCATGCTAGGCCGCATCCCATGGTTCACCTGCATGGTCCTCCAACTCGGCCTTCGTTGGTGGAAGTCCCCCTCTGCTCCACAGGGCCTGGTACATCTTTCCAAGTTGGCGAGTTGGCCAGGCTTGCCATCTGTCACCCACATGGGGATGTTGAGCTCCGACCACTCCTTCTGCCACTGTCCACCCCAAATGCGGACTTGGCCTTGGGCATGTTGGTTGATGATGTCTTAAGATGGCGAGCTTGCGCTCAATGCTGTCCGGGGGAAAGCGGGTTGCCAGTGCAGCATTGGACTCCCCGCTACTAGCTGGGGCATCCGCCGCCTCCGTGGCTTCCCAAAAATCCAATGGAGTCTCCGGCACCTCTTCCAACAGCAATGATCCCGGGCAGGGGTTGCCCTTGCTCTTGATGTACATCTTCATGTCCAATGAAGCAATGCAAGAAGGGGCCCAAACGCTCTAAGAAGCCAGAGGAGCTGAGGTCCTCCGTCACCTGAGCGTCTCTAAGCTCCAGCATTACCTCAAGAGGAAGCATGAGGGAGACCCCGGGAGCAGTGACGCATGGCAACAGATTGCCATGGCCCAGACCAGCCTCTCAGAGGCCAAAGCGGCCAATAGGGAGTTCCAGGAACGGGGGCAACACAAGCGCAAGATGCTCCGCCCGGCGGTCAACGACGTGGATGATCTCTGGTCTCCTAAGGTGCAACAAGTCCTTGAATCGAACGCCCTGATGCGGTCGGTCATGGTGGACTTCCTCTCTACGGATGACCTCGCTATGGCTCGCACCCTCCACATGGAGATACATGGAGGGATTCCTCCTCTTCCTCCATCTTCTCCTCAGTGGACTGGCCATCCCGGGGCCAGGTCATCAACATGAGTCTCCAGGTGATTCTATCCACCTCCTGAGTCATGCCCATGTCCTTCATCTTGTGCATGCGGGAGCCAATCTTGCCGCACGCCAAGCACTTGCCCTCCAATTGCTGCTTGAGCCATGGGGACTTGCAGTGTTCGCAGATGAGTTCTGAGATCTCAGGGCCTGCCTCCAACTTTTAGATTGTCGTGGCGTCCCTCTTCTTGACGTGCTCCGCCGAAAGGATCTTTTCGTGCTGTAACTTCTTGATCGCCAGTCCATAGCTCTCAAGGATCCGGTGGAAAGCAGACGAAGTGGGGGCCTCAAGGTTGCCAAAGATGGACAGAAGGTCCCGAAGGTCGCCCAAGGTCAAGTCTCGGAGCATGTTCCTGATAATGCCCGGGACCAGAGGAAGCTCCTGGCCGCCATTGGTGATCCGGTAGGTGTCGACAGTGACCTTCTCAAAGTCCACCAAGACTCTAGTGTCACTCCCCGTTTCCTGGCCGCTACCTGGCCCAGGTTGGGTACTGGTACCTTGGTCCACAGGTTGGTCCTAGGTGCGCAAGCTGTTGCATGGCCGCAGTCAGTTCAGCAAGAGACTTCTGGAGGTCCACCTTAGTGGTATTCTGAAGCATTGCCACCTCGATGGTGATCTCAGTGAGTTGGTCCACCAGTTGGAAGCTGCCCTCAGACAGCATCTCGGAGTCCAAGGTTGATGGGGGGACGTCCACCTCCATCACGTCATCCATCCCATCGGACGCAAAGGACTTAGGGGCCATTTCCAAAGTCTGTTGACACAAAGCTTGAGCCAAAATGGCCAGGCCATTTCGGCAATATGATTCCGACAACACATTGCTTGCTTTCCGCAAGCTCCATGCAAGTACAAAAATTAACCACTTTTGCTCGATTTGCTGGCCACGCAATCACTTGCAAGCACGAAATACAGGCAATGACTTGCAATGAATATCGCACAACCTTCGAGATCGAGATCCAGCGAAAAAGGTAACGTTCTTCGGTGAGGTATGTTTGGTCCTCAAAGCTTTCCATGCGAACACCCTGTGCTCCAGTTGTTGACCGGCAAAATGTTTCGTTCTACGTCCTCCCAACTGGCCATGCCTCTCCTTTGCGACATGGGAGGCCCAGGTGACCATTCGTTCCAGGCAGGGTCGAAAACCTTGCAGGTAGGGTGCGAAGCCGGAGACTATTCAGTGGCCAAAATATGTCAAAATATATCAAAATATGTCAAAATACACATGCATGGTTTCGAACCGCGCAAAAAGGGGTGGAGGGCCATGTACAAGTGGACGCACAGGTGCTGCAGGATATCATCGACCACTTGACGCCTCCATGTTCGCCAGGAAGTCACCATCAAATCCACCCACCACATAGAGCCTGGAGCAAGGCATTGATTTACTCCGCAAAATGCGAGTTTTCTGGAGGTGATGGGCAGCATGTAGGTTTAAAACTCCGAAACTTTCTTCGCATCTTCCAACTTGGCACCATCACATCCGTCACCTTCCTCCCACTGCCGCAGCCGTGGCCATGCTACGAGCGCTTGGCAAAGGAGCGACCTCCTGCAGTGTCCGTCAAGGATGGTCAGTCTTAAATTCAACTGACTGCTTTTACTAAAAATAAAAGATATAAAGTCAGTCTACATGACATATGATATAACGCATGCCCTAAGGGGATACCCCCGTCAACATACCTCAGATAAAGTATTATTCCGGCATACCTTGAATTAAAAAAAAGTTATCCAAGAACTCATTGAGATATATGGAAATTTGGAATAATAATTTCCATCAAAATGATACCGGTATAGTCTATTTCTAGCCAAACGCAAGTAATCGTAAGCAGCTGCGCGCAAACGGCCGAAAAAGGTTTCCCTTATTCTTGCAGAGCTGGGGCACAAATTTAAACAATTTTAAACATAATTAGATAGGATCAAGAAGAGTTTGAAGAGTCAGAATAATATCTTCAAACAAATGTCCTCTCAGCAGCCCACTGGTTGAACATGGTTTTGATTGGTTTTGGATGTTTTTCCAGTTTCTGGGCTAGTTTGGTGGTTGTGGCCTGAGTGGGAATGAGTGGGAAAAGGAAAATATTTGGTTGTCACTAGTTTGATTTTTTTTGCCAATTTCTGGGTTTGCTTTGTGATTGTAGCAGCTGCCCACTTTTGTTTTTGAGGGGTGCCAGGCATCTCCAATACCCCTAGAATAATTTTTCCCCTGGGGAAAGCCCACAAAATGGCACCCAACCTAGCTCTCTCCTAGGGTTTCATTTGTTTTTGACAATTCTTGCCAGTTTCTGAGCTAATTTGGTGATCAGCTGCCCACTTTTGTTTTTGAGGGGTGCCAGGCATCTCCAATACCCCTAGAATAATTTCTCCCCTGGGGAAAGCCAGCAAAATGTCACCCAACCTGGCTCTCTCCTAGAGGTTTTCCCAACTTTGCATACGCCCTCCTATTTCTTCCATATTCCATTCATTTCCTTCCAAAAAACTCCCGTTGGCCATAATGGGAATGGGTGGGAAATGTGTGGGTTTCATTTGTTTTTGACAATTCTTGCAAGTTTCTGGGCTAATTTGGTGATCAGCTGCCCACTTTGGTGTTTGAGGGGTACCAGGCATCTTCAATACCCCTAGAATAATTTCTCCCCTGGGGAAGGCACGCAAAATGGCACTCAACCTGGCCTTTTCGTAGGCATTTTCCTAACATTCCCTATTCATTGCCATCCAAAGAACTCTCGAGAGAAAGTGCTGTGAGAGAAAGGTGGTCCGTTGGACACTAGTTGTGCTTGCAATTACGCTGCAAAAAGGGTTTGCAGAAATTGCCCAAACTGCATGATGCCTTAAACAACTGCAACTGGCATTTCCAGCAAAAAGCTTTCAGGCAAATACCGCCAAGCTAGGAATGGCTTTTGGAAGGGCCAAGCCAAATGTAGGAACGTATAAGCTGCTTCGAGATATTTTAAGATGCTTTTAAGATCTTTTAAGTTAAAGAAATTTATTCCAAAACATAATTATTCCGGGGTATCTGATTTTCAAGGTTCCGACATGCATCATCGTATACCTACCCCTTAAAGAAAGTATTCCTTGAAAATTATTCCAAAAACAATTATTCCATAAGCTAGTTGATACCCTGGAATATTTTTTTCAGTGGATATGGGGGTCATTATTTTATTCTGCATACCAGGGTGCCCAAAACGTTCATCGGGGAAAGTAGCCCATCTTGCGTGCCGAATCTTGACCTATGGGTATGCCACAGGCTCCTGTGGCTTGGATACCCGTGGGTTTGGATGATTTGGTTTGGTGTTTTCCTGTTTTAGAATAATTAGAATATGCCGGGTACATCCGGGTACCAACAAAATGAACGATCTGTGGGTCTCAATGGTCTCTGAGCTTCCTCCGAACCGGACCAGAGCTCCAACCGTGGTCGAATGGTCGAGTGTCTAGAACGAGCAGCGACTAAGGCACGTCAATCTTGTGATAATCTTTACATTCATATACCTGATTGTTTGTTACAACTTTCTGTCCAGAGCAGATTTGGGTTTGATTTCCGGACAATTATTTCTGACCTTTCGAAGATCCAGGTACCATCAGATACCAGTATCTGTTGACCATGCCAAGTGAAACCCGTGGAACCACAAACAATTTTGCACTTGACCCAGGTGGCCCCAAGTGGCACCAGGTGGCCCCCCAGGTGGCCCCGCGCCCTTGGCGCCTGCCAGTTGCCTGTGCTGGGGTCCATTCTCCAACAATGGCTGGACAAGCTTCGCCCATCGTGACCTGTACCAATTCGTACAGCGCCAGCAATGACAACAGCAATCTAGATGCAATCTAGATGCAATCTGTATGCTCTGGAGTCAAAGAAAACCGTAGAAAACCTCGCTAAATTCGTTCCTTGAACGTCGCTAATCTTCATTGATTTACTGTGGTTGCTAAAATTCAAATGTTGCTGTTGATAAAATTGGCACAAATCCCCTTGCCTCCCAAGACATGAAGCACTGGCCGCTGGGCACCGAGCACTGCCCGGCAAGGAAACCTGAGAAGTGCTTCATGAAGAAACTCGTCGTGAAATGGCACCGGCGTCGATGTCTTAAGGTACAGTATACGTGCTTCATGGTAAATCTACACTTGGGATCACTTGGGTATTCGCTATATATATATATATATATCATGTACATCCATTTATGATAAGTTATATTAAATTATCTACATCAATTTACATCATGTAACCGCCCAACCAGTCACCCATCAGAAAATCTGATCAATGAATCACACAGCAACCCAGGCACTCCATGGCACGTTGCACGGCCATGGCGTTTGCCACCTCCGAGACCCTCAAGAACCATAGGACCTTCCATGGAATTCTGTGCAATGGTGAGTTCATGGGATTCAACATCGAGGTGGCGAACCCGAGTGCGGCGAAATGATTGGTTTGAATGGAAAAGCTTTTAAGGCTTTGAGGGAACATCTCGATCATCTCGCCGAACCATGGTTTCTGTCCTTTCTGGTTAAACATGGCTAAACTGGTTCAACAGCTGACATTTTCCCATCTAATTCTGCGGTTAGGTGTCATCCTGCCCTACAAGATCCTACAAGACTATGAGATACTAGTCAATGACAAAGTGTCATCCCACAATCAATGCAATCTACCAAATTCATCCAAATTCAGAGTCTGGCTGGTGGCACAAAATCGAAGTGCGCCTTCCCAGCAAGATGACCCGTGCGAAGTACATGCAAAGGAAGTTCCTGGGGCGATTTGGGCGATTTGAAACCATGCCAAACCACCTAACGCTGTCAACTTTTACTGTTAACATCTTCTGGAATGCGGAGACGGGTTGAGTAGCCATGCGATCGAAATCCTCGAAACAGTTCGAAACCATTAACAAGTGCTATTGGGTGTGTATGTCAATGTGTCAATGTTGTTTGTACGCCTTGTATGCGCATACATTGGCTGTTGTGAATCAATTTATGAATCAAAAATAGTTTGTCATCGTCCATACACGTGGTGTCTTGAGCTACAGTACATCCCAATTTGCCATCCAAAATACCAGCTGGACGGGCTACAACCCTCTAGTCAAAATGGCGACGGGCCACAAGGTAAGTGGAATAGGTCTGGTTGTGCTTTGTTGCTTTGGAGTATGTGAGTGAGGCTAGATGCTCTTCACCTTGTCACCGTCACGGTTTTTCATGGCTCGAAGTCCATTCTTGAAAAAACTTGAAAAACTGGCAGCGTCATCGGATGTGATCTGTATCCCCCACTTCCATTGAACTACGAAATCATCATGAACTGTCCGAAGGGGCTGCCACTGTCTTCAAATGGGGCGTCTGCCGTCTCATAACGTGATAATTTATAATGCTATCAAGGTGGAGAACGCCCGGTGCAATTAAACCACTGCGAATCATTGATAAACAGTGATTCCATCACTGTCACAAAGTCAGGGATTCTTGATTGGGATTATCACAGATAAAATCAAATTGTCAAGAATCAAATTTGGACCACCAACTCGTACACACCCGCATAGTCTCTAGGAAGGAGCCCTCAACATGGCTCCATAGTTTTGCTGATGAAAACTGGTGAACATATGTTGCAAATCTCAGTGTTGTTGGTTTAAAACATTGTTGAAACATGTTAAAGCACACTAAAACCTTCTAAAACCCTACAAAACCCCACAAAACCCTCATGTTTGTTTCTGACCTCCCAACTTTCCCCAAGGTTTTTCCGTCAAAACCTTCAGTTTTTGCGGCCAGGGCGCGTCTCCCCGCAGGAAGTGGGCGCTGGTCTTCGCTGGACCATCCAGCACTCGCTGTGCCACTTCGCCTTCACGGCCTCGGCTGAAGCCATGAATTTCATGGGATCGCCTGTCTAATGTCATACGGATCGCCTACATAATATACATAACATAAATTAAATATACATAATTATACGTACCTAGCGCATCAAGAACCCACAAATTTGTAGGTTTTTTTTCAAAAACCCGGTTTTTTCTTCAGTTATGGATCCGTATGTATATTCATGCGATTTCATGTGTATGTATATTTTAGGATATTTTAGGGGATATTAAGGATAAGCATGCCTTAGCTAATGGAGGAGAAGTGAAGTCTCAGAAACTTAGAATCTTAGAGATCGGTGTGTGTGTGTGTGCGTGTATGTGTGTGTGTAATTATATAAATAGCCTTAGTAAGGGCTGAAGTTTTTTTGGTGTTTTTTTCCCGTTTCTTTTTCTTTTCCCGTTTTTGGGCAAGATTGTTTTACCTGGTATTGGCCTCATTTTGGAGTTTAGATCTCTCACTTGCGTGCTGTTTGCAGCATTTTGGAGGTTGGATTTCTCATTAGCATTGTATTTGCAGCATGTATTTAGGTAGGTTTAGGGTTGGTTGAGGGTTTTGTTGATGTTGGTTAAACATTTTCCAGTTTACCTACGGTTGGTTTAAGATTTATTGAAGTTTGTTTTAGGGTTTATCTAAGGTCTGTTGAGTGGTTATTTTGGGTTGGCGTAGAATGCATTTATGGTTGGTTTAGGGTTTGTTTCAGGTTTTTGGATATTATTTAGGGTTGGTTACGCCTTTGTTTAGGGTCGTTTTTAGGTTTCATTGAGGTTGGCTTAGGATTTCTTTACGGTAAGGTTGGTTGAGGCTTATCTAGGGTAAGTTAAGGGTTTATTTAGGGTTGGTTTAAGGTTTGTTTAGGGTTGGTTTAGGGCCTATAGGGTTTACTTCTTAGGCCTTGAAGTTCATTTAGGGTTGGTTTCAGATTTATTGTGGTTCACTCATCATCTGCGCCCCTAAAAAAGGATCATCTGCGCCTGGGCCCCTAAACTTCGAGGTAAGTTCCGATTGTTCCGATCACCTGCGCCCCTAAACTCTCACATAGAAACATACTTCTGAGGGATACGATACGACCCCTTGAGGTTGGAAGGGGGAAAACTATCATGGCACCATATGGGAAGAATATCACTACTTCTGAGGGATACGTCCCTTTAGGTTGGGAGGGGGGGAACTATCATGGCACCATATAGGAAGAATACACTGGAAACATACTTCTGAGGGTTACGGGGGAACTATCATGGCACCATATAGGAAGCATACACTGGAAACATACTTCTGAAGGTTGCGGGGGAACTATTATGGCACCATACAGGAAGAATATCATTAGAAAACGACGGTTTCGCGCGAGACTTCCCTCCAAAAGTGAAAGTTGAAAATGTGAAAACGAAGCTTTTGTGCGAGACTTCCCTCAAAAAGTGAAATATGCCATTAGCACAACGAAGGTTTAGGGGCACAGACGATAGCCTGCGCAACGCTTGGTTTGTGCGACCTGCGTGGCACTTTAAGCCCATCCTCTGTGCCCCTATTCAAAGACCACCTTTCGAGCAACTATAGCCCCAAGAGCGGTTTCGGGCACAGACGATGAGGGAACCTTTACTGTAATTTGGGTTTAGGTCTTAATTAGGGTTGGTTTAATGGTTATTTGGCGTTACTTTAAACAGTATTTACGGTCGGCTTAGGGTTTGTTCAATTGCTTGCATGTTATTTGCGGTTGTTTGGAGTTCATTTTAGGGTGTGTTTAAGGCTGAAGGTTTAATTACGTCCTTCCTTCCTTCCTTCCTTCCTTCCTTCCTTCCTTCCTTCCTTCCTTCCTTCCTTACCTCCCTCCCTCCCTCCCTCCTTCCTTCCTTCCTTCCAGAAAACGGGGAAAAACCCACAAAACCGGGAAACCATATCTAAAAAATAGTCCTCCCTTTAGTAACTCTATGTTCTATGCATGTTGATTAATAGGTTTCTAAGAAACATAACCTGATAAGAAATAAGAATGTTAAAATTGGATGGGATTGGAAGTATGTGTGCTGGTATGTACCTCAGTTTTTGATAGTTTTGGACATACCAGGAGCCACTGTACTCCACTGCGGACAGGAGGTACTATTGCTGGTTTTGGTGTATGTCTTGATTTTCCGAGATCCTGGTATCCGTCTAGCAATAGCTGACATGTGCTGAAAATTGATCATCCTGATCATGCATCAGATCCACTATCCATCCAGGGTCACTAGGATCCACTATGATTTCTACAGGCTCTTCAAAATCTGTGACATTGTGATGTTGTGGTGAGTGCCACTGGACAAAGCAGCTACGATTTAATTTGAGATCTTCAACAAGTGGAATCCGAGCTTGTTGGTGATTTCAACCCATCTTCAAAATATGTCCGTTGGGTACTGTAAAGCGTTCCAAACAAATACGAAAAACTGATACGATTTGAATTCTGAGCCAGCACAGAAAGGGAGTTCATTTGCCGGTCCGCACTCTGGTTGCTTAAAACCTTGAGTTTGTTACCCGGCCACCTCTCGCAGCTGTTTTGCCTGGGATTCCTACAGGGGTGAACAAAATGTCGGATGCTTTTGTGGGATACAGCAGCAACTTAACAATCACTGGACTACTGAAACCTTGACTCTGTAATTATGTATGAGGATCCCTTGCATTTGATTAAAAACAGCACAATCCTCTCTGGACACCAAGGTACAGGAAAAGTTGGATGTCAACGCTGTGGTCGCCATCAACGGCCGCCCGTGATGCTGTGATGATGGTCGTTCTGTTGCGAATGTGAGCCAAGGCAGATGCCAAGGCAAGCACAACCTTCTGGACATATATATTTGATTATATTTGGTCCCCACATGTCATCCCAAAGACTGACGTTGGGCACCGCACTGTTTGCAGTACTGTTCAGCTTTTGCGTTGGTCCAATCTTTCGCGGGTGTGGGATTCTACCATGGTCAAGGTGCGATACAATCGCTCCGATGAGATCAATAAGGTCTTTGGACTATGCCATGGGCATTGCTGCAAAAATGCTGCAAGTATCACATTGGTAACATCATATGAATCATGGTCTTATAAGGAATTAAGCCAACGCTGCTTGAGCACGTCATTTCATAATGTTGATATTGCATGATGTTTCATGGGTGACCTCTACGACCCTTCGTCTAGAGTGAATCAGTTATCAAAACAAGGCACATCGCATGTCTCCCAGAACCAAAATTCGAAGCACCGCAATCTGGAACATCTTCCTATCTGGCAATTGTTTGGGTTCGATAATGTTCGATATCAAAGTTGTTCAACGTTTCATAGGGTTATATACATCCCCTTTCTGTTCACTGGCCATGGTATCGTTGTCATAAATTGGTTGCATAATGTTGTATACCATTGTATACCCATGCCTGGAATTCCCGGACATCTTTGACGTGTAAGCGCACAGGTCCTGTTCCCAAGCTACCTGTGCGTATATAATGTAAGCCTCAGTGGGCCCCACTGGATGCCACCAACAAAAGATGCTCAACTTTGGGATTTTATAACCTTGCCCTTTCCATCTGAACTGTCATGGGGTCTTTGAAAAAACTTCAGACTACATCTGAAACACTATGAAACAACCGTTGAAAGCCGGGGCCCAAATGCTGTTGACATCTGCGACATTCCAGTGTCCCTCAAAATCCATCAAGATCCACTCGGCGGCAGGTGCCAAGTTTCAAATATCGCGTTCAGCGACTGTTTTCCAAGTTGCGAAGGCTTCGGATGTCAAAGCCCTAAGGTGTTGTGCAGCCACTGTATCTCTTCAGTATCTTCAAGACACACGTCTTCACCTTTGCAGAATTAGAAGGGTGTAGAGTCTAGAACCAAAAGCTGTAGAATAATGTATGTACACCCGAGCAACCGCTCGGCCAGTGCACTCCGTTTTCAAACATTTTAAAACCGTATAACTACCGTATACCGTATAACTGTATAGTTAACCAAGTTTCATCCAAAGCAAGGCAAGGCTCCATTGCTCATGGCTCACCTCATGGAAGGCGCGTACCTTCAAATAGATGAGCCACTCATAAAAAGAACCACGTGCGGGTGGAAACGCGCCGACACATGGCCTCGCGTGTGTGGTGATTTTTGTTCCTGTGATTCCTGCGCGAGGTTTTTCAGCAGCTCGGCTGGATTTCCATATATTGAAAAGTCCGAGTAAAAAACACCAACCACAGTCGATCAGTGTCACAACGTGCTCCCAAAACAGATGAAACAGCAAAACCGAGAGGAAATGGACGAACAACACTCCTCCGGGAGCGGACCACCAAATCAGCGGCTGCTTCTGGAAGTAGTTCGGAGCCCTTCAAACTGCAACCCAATGCCAGGGACACTCAAGAAACACTTTCCAGACCAGTGCAATGGCAATGACAATTGTAGAGGGGAGCTGATTGTCAGCTCCATGCTTCTCAATTTGACATGACTTCACAATCTTCACATTTCAATGCATTTCAATACATGCCATACTACCTCTGCAGGCTTCAAGCGCTGCGTTTCTGCGGCCAGGGACTTTAAGATTGGCGAAAGCATGCGCTTCAAACGCGCACGGACCTTGCGAGATCTTGAGATTCGCCACCATGCCGGGTAGTAAACCATCGCAGTGATTTGGGGTGCCGAGCATGTTCAAACTCAGGAATTATTCCCTTGTCATCCTTTGTCCAGTTTGAATTGAAGCTCACCATAGGATATCGTGGAATTCCTCATTCTCCTTTTTGCCCTGAAGATTGGCCAGAATGTATCGAGGTCGAACTGATGAGTGCTATAATGAGCTGAAGATGACATCCCACCGTGGACACAGGTCGATTGCCTGATTTTACACAATCATACACAGGTCGAACAACAAAACCAAGGAGTTTAAATCATTTGATGTGAGCTTAGGAAACAGCAAGGCATGGTTGTGATTGATCGAAGATCAACCACAATCATGCTTTGACGATTCCTAAGCCTTGACACAAAACAGTCAAAAGAATAAAGAATCCGTGATCTGTTTGAAGCCGCATCATCTTGTGGCAGCAACACATCCAGCCATGGTAGGAGCTCGATGGGCTGCCATGCAACAGCAACACTAACTGCCTGGGCACGACCTGCCGAAGCAGCAAGGGCGACTGCATCTGCTGCATCATGTGCATCCCATTCTTTCCCGAATGCGGAATCTGCATTCGAATCTGCGGCGAGCTACACTGTAACACACCGCAGATTCGAAGCTGAATTGTGCGGCGCTGAGATGTAGAAACCTGCAGCACTTGCTTCGACCTGAGGATCTCATGATGTCTCATGTCCTGCTTTTTGGCTGACCCTTCCCAAAGCCCTACACGCAAGGAACGGATTAGGAAAGGACTTTGCTTCAAAACTGTATAGTTATGAACTTCCTGGGAATGTTTTTCCCCTTATCCAATCCAAGCCAAGACCACCTGGCATCAGACTCACAACTTGGCCAAATGATTGCAAATCAGTCTAAGATAGTCCAAGCCTGAAAAAAACATCGTCATCATCATCAGACATCATCCGGCATCGTCATGAGTATGCACTAGCAGTTTATCGTGGCACATCAGAATCGGTACCTACCTGCATCTACCTGCGATTGGGTTGGGTAAAAGGCACCCCAAGCCTGCTAGCATATCATCTACAGACACGTTCTTCGTGGCGACTATGCCTCTGGACACGGCGGCCACCTATTAGTTTGAGACCTTGAGCCGATGGAACACTAAGTTTGTTGGTGATCTCAACCCATCTCAAAACGATTTTGTAAGTTGGTTAAACATGGTTAAACCATCACAAAGTAGTATTGAAAACTATTGAAAACTGATAGATCGTTAAATCATGATAAAGGAAAAAGCAACGAATTCATTTCAAATTTGCTGGTCCTCGCTCGCAGCTGTTTGACCTGAGATTCCTAGTGAACAAAGATTTCGGGGGATACATTGAGCTATTTTACAATCGGCTCACAGAAGTCACAGAACTACTAAAATTGAGGGTACTGTATGAGTATCCCTTGCATTCAAAAAGCACACCCTGCAAGGTACAGAAAGGTTGGACGTGAACGCTGCAGTCGCCATCAACGGCCCCCGGTGATGCTGTGACGCTTTTCGTTCTGTTATCAGGGTCGACGTCAGATCGTTCTGCTTCAACATGTCACCATGTTCCAATGGTTCCGTGAGATATAAGTTGATATATATATATACAGTATATATATATAAGGTCTTTGGACAATGCCATGGCATGCCATGGCTATATCTGCAAGATACTTTTTCTCTACATGGATTCACATGGGACATCATGGTATCACAAGGAGTCAATTCAACGCTGCTTCAGTATAAAGCACTGGCATGTCATGATGTTCATGGTGTTTCATGGCTAAATCTTCCGAACTGGTAGATCTCAGCTGCGGTTCTGGGCCTTTTTGGGGACCATGGTTGTCGAACCTGTTGGGACATCTTGAGACGGGATAGACAACTTTGATCGCCAAGCAGTTCTCGTCCCTTTTGAAGGCTTGAGACTTGAGACGTGGGACCCTGCGCTACTGATAGATTCCAAAATAGATCGGACGATATCGGACGCCTAAAAGCACCAAAATTTTACGCACTGTGGTCCTATTGGAAATGGCAATCGTATCGTCAAAAACTGTGTCCATAGCCATGGAATCCCATGGAATTCCCGGAACTTCAGCCGAGGTGCAGAGGTCCTTTTCCATCATTTTCGGCAGCCAATGGGCTAAGATGGGCTAAGTATATTAGTCTGCGAAGTTCAGGACGTTTGAAGCCCTCAACAAAGATGTTTGAACTATTTCAAAATCTTGGGTTGTTCCCTTGCCCTTTCCATCCGAACTATCATGGGTGTCTTTAAAATTTTGTACAGACTTTAGACATCTTCAAACTACATCTATGAGTCAATGAGACATGATGAAGTGATGAAGCAATGATGCTGTGCAGCCATTATATCTTCAACACACGAGTCATCACCCTTCCAGAGTAGAAGGGTGTGGGATCAAAAGCTGTATGTACACCCAAGGGGTTGGGGCTGATTGTCGGCTCCATGCTTCTCCAATTGATATGACTTGACCGTCTTCACACTTCAATACATTGCAACGCATGTCATCCTAGCTCTGTGTCAAAGCTTAGGATTCAGAAAAATATGATCGTGGTCGACCTGCGCGGTGAAGATCGCGCAAGTGGCCACATCGCCCCTGCGATCGTGCCACTTGCCCGATCTTACCCACGGAGGTCGACCACTATCATGCTTTGATCATTGATCTGGTTGGAGCTGCGTCATTTTGTGGCAACAAAACACGGAAAGAACGTAAAGCATGTGAAAATTGCACCTCTCGCAGAGTAAGTCAACATGAGAGAATGTCTTGGAACCCAGGGCACCCGCGCAAAACCTGAAATACGACACAAACTTGAAGATGCTCTGGTCGCAAAATGCCTTGAAACTCCACACCTTCGTCAGATTCGTCAGCTCTTTCTATTCTTTATGCTTTGGGGCCGTCACCTTCATGGACTCATGGACAACACGGTGTTGAAGTGGGTCTATGGTGGCACAGACCCACTGCAGTGGCTTCGACACAGGCTTCGCCATGTGCTTCAGGATGGGCCGTGGCATCGTCGCCATGCAAAAACCACAGGTGGTGTCCATGACAGGGGATTCGATCAGGATGCTGACACGTCAATCCGAAGGTGCCTCCCGGGGAGGCACCTTCGGATTGACGTGTCAGCACCCTGATGGAATCCAGGGCCTGGCTTCAACTGCGCAGCTGATGCAGTCAAGCCAAGGCTGCGCTGGCTGCACATGACAGCACCACTGCCCAGACACTCCCTGCAACACCAAGCGCGGCTGCATTGGGGAAAGAGACACGTCTCAATGCCGAACCATCGATCTCATAAACTTGAATCATAGCACGAGATCAAAGGTTCGGTATGAAAATGTGGATCCTGCAGCACTTGCTTCGACCTGAAGATCTCATGATATCTCATGGAGAACCAATGGGATTTTGTCGAAAACACAAGGTCCTTGCTCCAAAATGCGTTTCTCACTTACACAAATGATCTTAGAGAGCCACTTCCTCAGGTCCAAACCGTAAGGCCACCAAGCCAAGGCCGCCTGGCGTCAGACTCAACTTGGCAAAAAATGGCAAATCAGTTCAATCATCATCGTTATCACCGTCATCATCATCACCACCATAGTCATGAGATGACATGAATATTAATATGCATAAATATGAGTGCCGCTGCCCGTCTGGAGCCTTAGGTAGCTCAAAGCAGTCGGCTGAGGAGTGGTAGATATCGCAAAGAGATACCCACCTCAGCTGGCAATCCAACTGGGTCCAAAAATGGTTTCGCCTCAAACGGGACGCTGCTTAGGCCCTCAGCCACAACGCCACAAGCTTCAAAAGAAAAGGCTCAGACCAGCATTGACTATACTATAACCATGACAAACCGTGACCACTCTGATACTTTCATATATTTTCACTGTTCAGTGCGCTTCAGCGTTTTCCCGGCGAAGCAATGTTGGCCTCGACCAAGGGGTGATACCGGATACTGACATCTGAATGCTGATGGCGGCAGGGATTCGAACTGTGCCTGCTGAAGATTGGCCAGAACGTGTCGATGGTCAACTGATTGGCCTATCAGATGGGCCTCTCATCCCCTGAAGCCACCTTCACGCTGCTGAAAGTGTTGCTTTCGAAGGGAGATACATCCAGCCACGGTGGGAGCTCGGTGAGCTGAATACTGGCAGAAAAGTGCCACAATCTGAGGGAGATCGGGAAGTACGTGAAGGATTTTGGGCCAAAATCCTTCACGTACTTCCCGATCTCCTTGAGGAGATCCATGGCCGGGATAATTGCCGTTCCTGGAATTGCCCCGCTTGCCCGATCTTTCCCGCGCAAATCGATCACGATCATGCTTTGATGATTTCTGAGTTTGCAGCAGATGGAGACGACGCTTTCCCAGAAAGCGTGTGACCAGCTGGCCATGAAGATCGGGAAGGATGTGTCGAAGTTGCAATGATGCATTGCAACTTCGAAACGTCCTTTCCAACCTTCAGGGCCAGCTCATCACATGCTTTCTTGGACAGCGTCGTCTCCATCTGCTGTACGCGGAGGTCATGGGCCTCCCATCCAGGATCATCACGCGCTGTTTGGACGGGCAGCTCTTTCTGAAGAAGTTGGAGACCTTGTTGCTTTGGTTTTCCCCTGCTGAAACTGTTGCTTTTGAAGGGGGTTTTGGACAGTTGTGGTACAACTCTTGAAATCAGAAAACAAAAAAGGCACAGACAAGCATGTTATCCATCCAGCCGCTGTCGGAGCCCTATGCGCCGAGTATTTGCAAAAAAATGCAACGATCGGCTGGTCCCGAAACATCTCCGCAAATTTCTGGATCTCCTTGAGGAGATCCATGGCCCGGACATGAACTGTCCCTGCGATGTGGCCACTTGCCCGGTCTTCACCGCGCAGGTCGACCACAACCATATTTTGCTGATTCCTCAGCTTGGACACACCAAAGAAATCCAAAGAATGCACAATCTTGTGGCAACAAAACACGAGAAGACCATAACTTCCGATGAGCAAACCAACATGAGAGAATCTCTTGGACTCCAGGGAAGGATGTAAAAAAGATTGGAACAACTAAACAAGTTGACAAAAACCTGAAGATCTTGAAGAGGCTCTGCTCCCAAAATGTCTTAAAATCCACCGGGTGCATGCCCTCCACACCTGCATCTCTTGGAACCTGGCCATCGATTTGAGGCAGCTCCTTCCGCTGCGGGGTTGTAACCTTCATGGAGACCAGTTTTGGGAGGCCCGCGTTCGGCTTTTGGTGTCCTGGGGTGCTTTGGAGCGGGGCCGCATAGACCCATTGCGATGGCTTCGCCACGGGCTTGACCACGGCCTTCACGATGGGCGCTGGCATCGCCACTGGCATCGCCATGGGCCCCGCAGACACTGTCTTCCACTGAGCGAGCAGCTGATGTTGCACCTACCCCACAAGCCATGGCTGCGCTGGCCGCGCATGCAACAGCACCGCTGGCTGCCTGAACACGGCCTGCTGCAGAAAGAGCGGAAGGAGAGGCGCCGCAGTTGAAGCTGAACGGTTTGATCTTTAAATGTGGCACCTGCAAAGCGCTTCCGTCAACCTGAAGATCTCATTATATCTCATGTTTTGCTTTTTGGCTGACCCTTCTCCCTTTCCTAAACCAAGGAAAAGACTTTGCTTCAAGACTGCAGCTACTGTATGAACTTCTGAACTCCGAGGGAAGACCGATGTCCTGCAGAGGGTTTTTTCCACCTTCTAGATAACTCACTTGGGCAGCCATTTCCTCAGGTCCCAAACGTAAGGCTACCAAGCCAAGGCCAGCCTGGCGTCAGATTCAACTTGGCAAAAAAACATCATCATGATCATCATCATCATCATCATCAGCATCATCATCATCACCATCACCATTGTCATCGTCATGAAATGTCATGAAATGTCATGAAATGTCATGAAATGTCATGAAATGTCATGAATAGCTAGCAGTGGATCAAGGCACATCGCTATACCATCAAAGGGTCCCACGTTCACTTACGCCGAAATTTTTAAGGTCACTTACGCCGAAAATTACCCCCACACATTTTCGACATCACTTGCGCCGAAAAACTTCTGATTACCTGTAAATTTCCACGAAATTGCGCTTCCACGAAATGCAAAAAACGATCCTCAGAGCAAGATAAACCTCTCTCTTTCATGTTCCAGTGGGGTGGGGTGGGGTGGGATGATAACGTTCATGTTCCTATGCACACACAGGCACAGCAACCTCATCATCTTTCTTGCTGTTGAGAAGAGACAGGCACAGCTCTTTCATGATCAGTTACCGGTGGGGTGGGGTGAGTTAATAAGGTTCATGTTCCTATGCCTGCACACGCACAGCAACCTCATCATCTTTCTTGCTGTAGAGCACTTACACGCACTGCTCTTTCATGATCAGTTACCCTCAGGGTGGGGAGGGTGGGGGGTGTGGGGGGGATGATAACGTTCATGTTCCTATGCACACACAGGCACAGCAACCTCATCAGCTTTCTTGCTGTTGAGCAGAGACAGGCACAGCTCTTTCATGATCAGTTACCGGTGGGGTGGGGTGAGTTAATAAGGTTCATGTTCCTATGCCTGCACACGCACAGCAACCTCATCATCTTTCTTGCTGTAGAGCACTTACACGCACTGCTCTTTCATGATCAGTTACCCGTGGGGTGGGGGAGGGTGGGGGGGGTGGGGGTGGGATGATAACGTTCATGTTCCTATGCACACACAGGCACAGCAACCTCATCATCTTTCTTGCTGTTGGAAGAGACAGGCACAGCTCTTTCATGATCAGTTACCGGTGGGGTGGGGTGAGTTAATAAGGTTCATGTTCATAAGGATCGCGCAGAGGGAGAGCAACACAGTCGACGTGCAAGCACACAAGCGCCACTTTTATACGGAAATTTACAGGTAAAATACCGATACCACTACAAAGCCGCACAAACGACATCAAAAACAACACGCGCAAAAGCGCCACTTTGTACGCAAATTTACAGGTCAAAACCCGACGCCAAGAAAAAAGCGGCACAAGCGACGTCAAAAGAACAACACGTCAAAACACTATTTTATACGATAATTTACAGGAAAAATGCCGATACCAAAAAAAAAGCGGCACAAGCGACACAAAAAAAAGCGGCACAAGCGACGCAAAAAAAAGCGGCACAAGCGAACGCCTCACCCCATCAAAGCATATCATAGCACATCGGTATAGCCTATCCTACCTGCTATCGGGCTCCCCGGCTGTTGGGTGCAAAAGGCAGGACTTCTGTTAGGAAGTAAATATCATGTAAACTGTCCATTAAACATGAAGATTGCAACAAAATGCAACAAATTTGAAACATCTTCAAACCACCCAGCCAATCCCAGCCAGCCCGACCAAAGCAAACCTCCCAGTGCCATGGCCCCGTCTGGAGCCTCAGGTAGCTCAAAGCACTCGGCTGAGGAGTGGTAGATATCGCAAAGAGATGCCCACCTCAGCTGGCAGTCGGCTGGATCCGGGGATGGTTTCGTCTCAAACGGGATGCTGCTTAGGCCCTCAGCCACAATGCCACAAGCTTCAAAAGAAAAGATTCGAGACCAGCAAGACCAACATTGACTAACTGTGACCGCTCAGTTTTACCACTGTTTGGTGCACTTCAGCATTGTGCCGGCGAAGCAATGTTGGCCTCGACCAAGGGATGAAACTGACAATCTAAATTTGGATTAATTTGGCAGGTATTCAAATTCGACCTGTGCCTGCCGCTCATAGCCAAATAGCATTCAGCCGGGCAACTTGGAAACATCCTTCCCGATCTTCACGGCCAGCTCATCACATGCTTTCTGGGAAAGCGCCGCCTCCATCTGCTGGATAGGGAGGTCATGAGCCTCCCATCCCCTGTACCCGCCCTCCAGGATCATCACGCGCTGCTTGGACGGGCAGCTCTTTCGAAAGAAGTTGGCGACCTTGTTGCTTTGGTTTTCCCCTGCCGAAAGTGTTGCTTTTGAGGGGTTGTGGTAAACTCTTGAAATCAGAAAGCAATAGAAAACACATAATATTATTAATATATATATATATAATATATAATTATATATATATGCACAGAAAGTGTATTGCTACACATGCATCCAGCCGCGGTGGGAGCTCGATGAGCTGAATACTGGCAAAAAATGCCACAGTCTGCATTTCCCCAAAATCCTTCACGTACTTCCCGATCTCCTTGAGGAGATCCATGGCCGGGATGTTTTTCGTTCCTGGGATTGCCCCGCAAGCCCGATCTTGCCCACGCAAATCGATCACGATCATGCGTTGATGATTCCTGAGCTTTGACGCACCAAAGGATTCTAAAATGCTTGGGTGATCTTGGGTGTCATTGGTCTCACTAGAGCCACATCATTTTGTAGAGACAAAACATGTAAAAACAATGCCATACTGTACCTCCCATGATGTAAATCAACATTAGAGTCAATCATTAGAGAATCTCTTGGAATAAAAGCCTTGCGGGCAAAAGGGACTGGAACAACTGAACAACCTAACAAAACTTGAAGAGGCTCTGCTCCCAAAATTTCTTGAAGTCAATTGGGTGCATCCCCTCCACGCCTTGGTCCTTGGGCACTTGGCCATCAATCAGAGGCAGCTCCTTCCGCTCTGGGGGCTTCACGTGCGTGGACACCACCTGTGGCTTTGGGCATGAGAGGCCCACCTTGGGATTGGCAAGATGTCCTCGGGTGCTTTGAAGGGGGGCTGCATATATCCATTGCGATGGCTTCGCCACGGGCTTGACCACGTGCTTCACCATGGGCGCCACTGGCACCATGCGCCCTGGTTTCACCTGAGCAGGCAGCTGATGCACCTGTCCAAGCCATGGCTGCGCTGCCTGCGCATGCGACAGCACCACGGGCTGCCTCGGCACGGCCTGCCGCAGGACCAAGCGTGGCTGCATCTGCTGCATCTGTTGCACCATCTGCATCTGCATCTGGATTCGGAAAAGAACGCAACACACTGCAGATTCGAAGCTACATGGCGCGGCGTTGAGATGTAACAACCTGCAGCACTTGCTTCGACCTGAAGACATCGTGATGTCTCATGTCTTGCTTTTTGGCCAACCCTTTCTCCTTCGCTACACGAAAGGAAAGGATTAGGATGATTCGGTACGGACTTTGCTTCAAAACTGTAGCTGTGAATTCCGGGGGAGACCCATGTCGTGAATCAACAATCCTGCAGGGTGCTTTTCCCACTTGTCCACTCTATAGCTCAACTCAGAGACCGTCGCAGCCATTTCCTCAGGTCCCAAACGTAAGGCCACCAAGCAAAGCCAAGCTATGCCAAGCTAAGGCCACCTGGCGTCAGACTCAACTTGGCAAAAAGATTGCAAATCAGCTCAAGCCTGAAAGGATCATCCATCATCATCCTCATCGTCACAACCATCGTCATGAGATGTCATGAGTCTCATGAGTATGCACTAGCAGTCGATCAAGGCACATGGCTATACCCTAGCTGCTCTTGGGCTGGGTGCAAGAGGCAGGACCTCTGTTACCAAGTATAAATACATGTAAAACATTATAAAAGTGTAGTAGTAATGAATATGAAGAATTAATATGAATAATATATAATAATATGATATATGAGATTTAGTATGCGGTTGAAACATCTTCACACCACCCAGCCAACCTTACCAAGGCAACCTCCAACCGCCACTGCCCTGTCTGGAGCATCAGGTGGCTGAAAGATGCTGGAAGTACTGATGAGGGGTAGATATCGGCAACGCGACCTAGGCAAAGAGATGTCGACCCCAGCTAGGGTTTCGTCTCAAAATGGGCCGTTGCTTATGATGGCCCTCAAATTCAAGACCAACCTTGACTAATCATGACTGACCATTCTGATTTTCATGACTTTTCATGATTTTTCTACAGTTCTCTGCGCTTCAGCGTTTTGCGGGCGAAGCAATGTTGGCCTCGACCCAGGGGTGATACTCACTGCAGGTTTTCAGCTGTACCTGCCATAGAAAATGATTGGGCCGATCATAAGCCTCCTCACTTGACCTTCGACACGTTCTGGCCAATCTTTAAGGCCAGCTGGTCACACGCTTTCTGGGAAAGCGTCGCCTCCATCTGCTGGATAGGGAGGTCATGAGCCTCCCATCCCCTGTACCCGCCCTCCAGGATCAGCACGCGCTGCTTGGACGGGCAGCTCTTTCGAAAGAAGTTGGCGACCTTGTTGCTTTGGTTTTCCCCTGCGGAAAGTGTTGCTTTTGAGGGGTTGTGGTAAACTCTTGAAATCAGAAAGCAATAGAAAACACATAATATATATAATATAATATAATATATAATATATATATATATATTATATATAATATATATATATAATAATATATATATTATATATAATATAATATAATATATATATATTATATATATATATGCACAGAAAGTGTATTGCTACACATGCATCCAGCCGCGGTGGGAGCTCGATGAGCTGAATACTGGCAAAAAAAATGCCACAATTTGCTTTTCCTCAAAATCCTTGACGTACTTCCCGATCTCCTTGAGGAGATCCATGGCCGGGATGTTTTTCGTTCCTGGGATTGCCCCGCAAGCCCGATCTTGCCCACGCAAATCGATCACGATCATGCGTTGATGATTCCTGAGCTTTGACACACCAAAGGATTCTAAAATGCTTGGGTGATCTTGGGTGTCATTGGTCTCACTAGAGCCACATCATTTTGTGGAGACAAAACATGTAAAAACAATGCCATACTGTACCTCCCATGATGTAAACTTATGAAAAACGAGCCAGCTACACATTGGAAATCTTTAAAATATTTTTTTTTTCATGTTGTATCATTTTGATTATCATTGCATTCATCATTTCTTTTATCATTTTTTATCATGTTTTTGTCATCTTCATTTTTTATCATTTTCTTTATCATTTTATTTTACATTTGTTTCATTTGTTCATTGTTTTCATTTGTTCATTTTTGTTGTCATGTTTTATTGGTTTTTTCATTTGTACTTTTATTTGTTTTTTCATTTATTTTTCTTTTTTTATTTTTTTCATTTTTTTCATTTTATTTGTGTTCTTTCTGCAGTTTTCATTTCATTTAAAAGTGTTTCCCATCCTTTTTGCAACCATTTGTTTCATTTGATGTTTTACTTATCCCAGTTCTGCTGCGTGCATTATTATTTTTGTATTGATGTTTCAAATATGTACATACGCATGGCATTTCCCACCAAACCCACCAAACATTACCCACCAAACAATGGGGAATGAAAAAAACATGAAGAAGTGATCACAGTTTGAAGACTACACTGACTGAAAAAAAATAAAAAAATGAAAAAAAATAATTAAAAAAAACAAAAACGAAAAAAAAAAAAACGACAAAAATGAAAAAAATGAAAAAAAACATGAAAAATGAAAATGTGAACAAAATGAACAAAATGAAAAAATGAAAAAAACCTAGGGTTTTTTTGATTTTTTGGATTTTTCTGATTTTTCTCAAAAATTACTCCAAAAGCTCCTCATTTTGACCCCCCTGGGGCTCCCTTCTTCCCTGGCCCTAGCCCTAGTCTGGCCATGCTCCTCATTTTGACCTCCTTGGGGCTCCCTTCTGGCCTTCCGTAGTCTGGCCATGCCTTCCTCCAGGACCCAAAATGGAAAGCACAGATCAAGGAGTGGAAGAACCAGCTTGGAGCCATTGGGTCTTGGTATCGTTTGCAACCACTATTTAAAAAAAAAACACTATCAAAAAAAAACGCAAAAAAACACTATTTAAAAAAAAACACAAAAATCAAAACAAAACTGAACAAAAAAAGGAGAAAAAACGGAAAAAATGAAAAACATTTTTAAAAAAAAATGAAAAAACAAAAATGAAAAAAATAAAAATGATTAAAAAATGATTAAAAATGATCCTGAAATGATTAAAAAAATGAAGATGATAAAATAAATGATGAAAAATGATGAATGCAATGATAACCAAAATGATAAAGATAAAAATAAAAAAATGACCTGGCCCAGTCTGTGGCTGCCATTTTGTCATAAATGTAAATCAACATTAGACTCATTTAGAGTCAATCATTAGAGAATCTCTTGGAATAAAGGCTTTGTGGGCAAAAAGGACTGGAACAACTGAACAACTTAACAAAACTTGAAGAGGCTCTGCTCCCAAAATTTCTTGAAGTCAATTGGGTGCATCCCCTCCACGCCTTGGTCCTTGGGCACTTGGCCATCAATCAGAGGCAGCTCCTTCCGCTCTGGGGGCTTCACGTGCGTGGACACCACCTGTGGCTTTGGGCATGGGAGGCCCACCTTGGGATTGGCAAGATGTCCTCGGGTGCTTTGAAGGGGGGCTGCATATATCCATTGCGATGGCTTCGCCACGGGCTTGACCACGTGCTTCACCATGGGCGCCACTGGCACCATGCGCCCTGGTTTCACCTGAGCAGGCAGCTGATGCACCTGTCCAAGCCATGGCTGCGCTGCCTGCGCATGCGACAGCACCACTGGCTGCCTCGGCACGGCCTGCCGCAGCACCAAGAGTGGCTGCATCTGCTGCATCTGTTGCACCATCTGCATCTGCATCTGGATTCGGAAAAGAACGCAACACACTGCAGATTCGAAGCTGAATGGCGCGGCGTTGAGATGTAACAACCTGCAGCACTTGCTTCGACCTGAAGACATCGTGATGTCTCATGTCTTGCTTTTTGGCCAACTACACGAAAGGAAAGGATTAGGATGATTCGGTACGGACTTTGCTTCAAAACTGTAGCTGTGAATTCCGGGAGTAGACCCATGTCGTGAATCAACAATGGGTCCTTGTTGAAAAAATACTCATTCCTTTCCTGCAGGGTGCTTTTCCCACTTGTCCAATCTATAGCTCAACTCGGAGACCGTCGCAGCCATTTCCTCAGGTCCCAAACGTAAGGCCACCAAGCAAAGCCAAGCTATGCCAAGCTAAGGCCACCTGGCGTCAGACTCAACTTGGCAAAAAGATTGCAAATCAGCTCAAGCCTGAAAGGATCATCCATCATCATCCTCATCGTCACAACCATCGTCATGAGATGTCATGAGTCTCATGAGTATGCACTAGCAGTCGATCAAGGCACATGGCTATACCCTAGCTGCTCTTGGGCTGGGTGCAAGAGGCAGGACCTCTGTTACCAAGTATAAATACATGTAAAACATTATAAAAGTGTAGTAATAATGAATATGAAGAATTAATATGAATAATATATAATAATATGATATATGAGATTTAGTATGCGGTTGAAACATCTTCACACCACCCAGCCAACCTTATCAAGGCAACCTCCAACCGCCGCTGCCCTGTCTGGAGCATCAGGTGGCTGAAAGATGCTGGAAGTACTGATGAGGGGTAGATATCGGCAACGCGACCTAGGCAAAGAGATGTCGACCCCAGCTAGGGTCGTCTCAAAATGGGCCGTTGCTTATGATGGCCCTCAAATTCAAGACCAACCTTGACTAATCATGACTGACCATTCTGATTTTCATGACTTTTCATGATTTTTCTACAGTTCTCTGCGCTTCAGCGTTTTGCGGGCGAAGCAATGTTGGCCTCGACCCAGGGGTGATACTCACTGCAGGTTTTCAGCTGTGCCTGCCATAGAAAATGATTGGGCCGATCATAAGCCTCCTCACTTGACCTTCGACACGTTCTGGCCAATCTTTAAGGCCAGCTGGTCACACGCTTTCTGGGAAAGCGTCGCCTCCATCTGCTGGATAGGGAGGTCATGAGCCTCCCATCCCCTGTACCCGCCCTCCAGGATCAGCACGCGCTGCTTGGACGGGCAGCTCTTTCGAAAGAAGTTGGCGACCTTGTTGCTTTGGTTTTCCCCTGCGGAAAGTGTTGCTTTTGAGGGGTTGTGGTAAACTCTTGAAATCAGAAAGCAATAGAAAACACATAATATTATTATTATTATTATTATTATATATATATATGCACAGAAAGTGTATTGCTACACATGCATCCAGCCGCGGTGGGAGCTCGATGAGCTGAATACTGGCAAAAAAATGCCACAATTTGCTTTTCCTCAAAATCTTTGACGTACTTCCCGATCTCCTTGAGGAGATCCATGGCCAGGATGTTTTTCGTTCCTGGGATTGCCCCGCAAGCCCGATCTTGCCCACGCAAATCGATCACGATCATGCGTTGATGATTCCTGAGCTTTGACACACCAAAGGATTCTAAAATGCTTGGGTGATCTTGGGTGTCATTGGTCTCACTAGAGCCACATCATTTTGTGGAGACAAAACATGTAAAAACAATGCCATACTGTACCTCCCATGATGTAAACTTATGAAAAACGAGCCAGCTACACATTGGAAATCTTTAATATATATTTTCATTTTTTATCATTTTGATTATCATTGCATTCATCATTTCTTTTCTCATTTTTTATCATGTTTTTTCATCTTCATTTTTTATCATTTTCTTTATCATGTTCTTTTACATTTTTTTCATTTGTTCATTTTTTTCATTTGTTCATTTTTGTTGTCATTTTTTAATTGGTTGTTTCATTTGTACTTTTATTTGTTTTTTCATTTATTTTTCTTTTTTTATTTTTTTCATTGTGTTCATTTTATTTGTGTTTTTTCTGCAGTTTTCATTTCATTTAAAAGTTTTTCCCATTCTTTTGCAACCATTTGTTTCATTTGATGTTTTACTTATCCCAGTTCTGCTGCGTGCATTATTATTTTTGTATTGATGTTTCAAATATGTACATACGCATGGCATTTCCCACCAAACCCACCAAACCTAGGGTTTTTTTGATTTTTTGGATTTTTCTGATTTTTCTCAAAAATTACTCCAAAAGCTCCTCATTTTGACCCCCCTGGGGCTCCCTTCTGCCCTAGCCCTAGCCCTAGTCTGGCCATGCTCCTCATTTTGACCTCCTTGGGGCTCCCTTCTGGCCTTCCGTAGTCTGGCCATGCCTGCCTCCAGGACCCAAAATGGAAAGCACAGATCAAGGAGTGGAAGAACCAGCTTGGAGCCATTGGGTCTTGGTATCGTTTGCAACCACTATTTAAAAAAAACACTATTTTAAAAAAAAACGCAAAAAACCACTATTTAAAAAAAACACAAAAATCAAAACAAAACTGAACAAAAAAAGGAGAAAAAAACGTAAAAAATGAAAAACATTTTTAAAAAAAATGAAAAAAAAATGAAAAAAATAAAAAATGAAAAAATAAAAATGATTAAAAAATGATTAAACATGATCCTGAAATGATTAAAAAAATGAAGATGATAAAATAAATGATGAAAAATGATGAATGCAATGATAACCAAAATGATAAAGATAAAAATAAAAAAAATGACCTGGCCCCAGTCTGTGGCTGCCATTTTGTCATAAATGTAAATCAACATTAGACTCATTTAGAGTCAATCATTAGAGAATCTCTTGGAATAAAGGCTTTGTGGGCAAAAAGGACTGGAACAACTGAACAACTTAACAAAACTTGAAGAGGCTCTGCTCCCAAAATTTCTTGAAGTCAATTGGGTGCATCCCCTCCACGCCTTGGTCCTTGGGCACTTGGCCATCAATCAGAGGCAGCTCCTTCCGCTCTGGGGGCTTCACGTGCGTGGACACCACCTGTGGCTTTGGGCATGGGAGGCCCACCTTGGGATTGGCAAGATGTCCTCGGGTGCTTTGAAGGGGGGCTGCATATATCCATTGCGATGGCTTCGCCACGGGCTTGACCACGTGCTTCACCATGGGCGCTACTGGCACCATGCGCCCTGGTTTCACCTGAGCAGGCAGCTGATGCACCTGTCCAAGCCATGGCTGCGCTGCCTGCGCATGCGACAGCACCACTGGCTGCCTCGGCACGGCCTGCCGCAGCACCAAGAGTGGCTGCATCTGCTGCATCTGTTGCACCATCTGCATCTGCATCTGGATTCGGAAAAGAACGCAACACACTGCAGATTCGAAGCTGAATGGCGCGGCGTTGAGATGTAACAACCTGCAGCACTTGCTTCGACCTGAAGACATCGTGATGTCTCATGTCTTGCTTTTTGGCCAACTACACGAAAGGAAAGGATTAGGATGATTCGGTACGGACTTTGCTTCAAAACTGTAGCTGTGAATTCCGGGAGTAGACCCATGTCGTGAATCAACAATGGGTCCTTGTTGAAAAAATACTCATTCCTTTCCTGCAGGGTGCTTTTCCCACTTGTCCAATCTATAGCTCAACTCGGAGACCGTCGCAGCCATTTCCTCAGGTCCCAAACGTAAGGCCACCAAGCAAAGCCAAGCTATGCCAAGCTAAGGCCACCTGGCGTCAGACTCAACTTGGCAAAAAGATTGCAAATCAGCTCAAGCCTGAAAGGATCATCCATCATCATCCTCATCGTCACAACCATCGTCATGAGATGTCATGAGTCTCATGAGTATGCACTAGCAGTCGATCAAGGCACATGGCTATACCCTAGCTGCTCTTGGGCTGGGTGCAAGAGGCAGGACCTCTGTTACCAAGTATAAATACATGTAAAACATTATAAAAGTGTAGTAGTAATGAATATGAAGAATTAATATGAATAATATATAATCAGAAACCTAGCAACGGCGTGCTGGCTGATAGCACCTCTTTTGTGCCTCGAAAGGGCGCCCTGCGGATCAGATGTAGTGGATATGTCGGAATCAAGTGGCAATCACAGTTATGATGGAATGTCCTCATGTCCAGTGCTAGTGGTATGATCCTGGGTATTTTCACACCCGTCCTTGATTGCCCCTTGTTTCCTGGCTCTACGTGAAGCCCTAATACTGGCTTTCTTTGCCAGTGCTGCGTCGCTAGGCTCAAGCTGCCACACTCCTTGGTAGAGTGCATTGAGCAACGGTTCTCTTTCGCATCCAGTTTTCGTGAGCACATCAGCGAGTTGCTGGCTTGTGTCGCACCATTCTGCGAACACCATGTCGTCATCGCCATAGTTGTTTTCACCAATCATCTCACGTATTTGTGCTACTAGAATGCGAACCCTTTTGTCACCAGGTTGACCTGCGTCTTTGTTCAATGTGCTTTCCAAACTCCTTGCGTCAGTGATGCAAATGATCTTCTTCTTCACATACTCACGCTCCAAATCGTTAAAACTCACATCAGGATGCTGGAGTTCCAGCAGTAAGGCTCGGACGTATTCGCCTGCCTCAGCACCAGTGAGAAAACCATTGGCCTCTGCAGCAAGTGTACTGCGACAAACTCGCTTCACTGATCCAGAGTAGGTTTCAACAACGAAGAGAGGAGTTGGGGAGCCGCTTCGAATGCTCGGCAAGGTCAGAGAGACAACATAGCCGCACTGAGACTTCATGCCTTCAATGTTTGCAAAACTGCTATCTGCAAAAACGCAAACAACCAAATCATCAAGCTTCATGTCAGGATGGGGGACAAAGCGCCAAGTCGAATCGGCTGTGTCCTTGAGCATCTTAACGCACTTGTTGAGGTTCACCACATCCTTGATTCTTGGTTTGCTCACACTCTGGGCAGCGACCGACACATTGACCATCAAGTCAGGTCGTGTCTGCCTCGTGATCCAGCCAAGTTGGCCAATCAGGCCGCGGAAGCTTGTGATCTCCTCTGTGGTCAGAGGGGCATTGATACAGGACCGTCTGTCCTTAGTCAAGGGCATGTAGTCCACGCTTTCAATGGCGTCGAACTGATCCAGCTCAATGGTGCCATCGCTATGTTGCTTGACGTTCTTTCCACAAAAACGAAACTCTCGGTGACTAACCTTCAGGTAAATCTCCTTTTCCATGGCTGAAATGCTATCCTGATACACCTTGCCTTCACCTGCACAAAACAAATCATCCACATGTGTAATGAGTACGCCAACAAGCTTGGTGTCAATCACAAGGAGAAACATTGCTGACTCGATTCTTGACATTCTCCAACCAAAACGCTTCAAGGTTCTGAAAAGTTTCTTCCACCATGCGCGACCAGCATCCTTCGTGCCGTAGATGGAGCCACGTGCTCGAAGGAGGTCATGTGGGCTGATGCCTGGCGGTGGAGGTCTTGGTGGTCTCAAAATCAACAACCTGCTTATTCCTTGTGACTGTAGATATGCAGTGGAGGCGTCACATGCTGAAATTATCCAGTTCATCACTGTCGCAATCATGCAAATGAAATTGAATGCCAAAAGAGAAGCTGTGGGACTATCTGAGCGGATAGCTTGTGGATCTTCTTGGCACCCTTGGACAACAAGTCGGCTTTTGGCCTGAAAAGGAAATTCTTTCTTGATCTGCGCATCAGATTTTCCAGTCTTCTTCGAGAGATATTTGGCCAAAAGTCTGGGCTTGCTGTTCTTGTCGGTGTGCACCCAACGTGTTCCCACGATCTGCGTGTCGTCGGGCAAGTCCTTGATCTGGTCCTTTGTCAAAACTTCAACAGCTCCAAACTTCATCCATGAATCCCATTCACGCTTCATGGAATCTTGAAACTTCTGCCGGTCACTCTCATCCAAATTCTTGAGGGAGATCTCAGAGGAGGCTGCCTTCCCAGTGAGGAAAGCATCGGCAGGTTGAGCCTGAGTGAGCATGGACTCCTCTTCAGAAGCCTCGCTGTCAATCTCAGACTCAGGCATCATTCGCTGGAGTTGCCGAAGACGAACAGTATGAGGTAGATCAGGACAATCCCATAATTCTTCATCCACAAAATATGGAGATTCTTGATGTCCATTTGAGGTTCTTGAGGGACCATATGATGTTGGTTGTGCTGTAGAAATGAATGGTAGTTGTTGTGGTGGTACGGGTTGAAGTGGAACCATGGTGTTCTGCTGTTGTACTTGCTGTTGTGTAAGTTGCGATGGTGTTGTCGTGGTCTGTTGTGACCCCGAAGAAGTCGGGTGACCATCAAGTCGATCAGGCCGTTGTAGAGCTTGAGAAAGTTGAGTGGCTGCTGCAGCTGCAGGCACATTCTTGCTGGGTCTGCGTGACACCTGTGGTGTTGGTGTAGCAGACGGGCCTGGTTCAGGCTCTTGGACCTCGTCTCCCGTCCTTTCCTCCTGAGGTGCTGGAGTCGCAGGCACAACATCACCAGGAAATTCTGTGTCTTCCCGGATGGTAGCCGGTCTTGAAGCGGCAAAAGGTGTTGTTGGACTAAACTGCAATCCAGGTGGTGCAGGATCTTGTTGTTGGTCCAAGATCTGTGGAGTTGCTGCATGTCCACGAAGATCAACATAGTTTCTGGCACCTCTGGTATAGGATGGTTGTAGAACTTCTTCAGGAAGGGAGTGAGCAGCAAGAAGCTCATCTTCGCTCGCAAATCTTCACCTGTGACCAAAACAACTGAAGGACCATAGCGCAACCAGTAAGCATGAGGCTGGCCACCCTCGGTGGCAAATTCCACATCCTCAGCTCTCCGCTGGTTCCGGGTCTCAACTCCAATGACCCTCGCTGGACCAAACCAGCGAAAGTTGCGAGCCTGAGCTCGCGCTTGTCCAGTGGGAGGTGCTTGAAGTCGATAAAAGTAGACATAGCTGCCCACAGGGTATGGTCCACGTGTTGGAGTGGACTTGTGAAGCAAAGCCCTTCTGACTCGTGCATCATTGTCGAGTCTGACCTGAGCGACTCGGGCACTTTCACGAATGCCCAAGGACCTTGCAAATGCTGATGTTGGGTCATCAGCCGCTTCAAGCAACTCAAGCCGTTGAGCTTCACCATCATCCAAAAGTGAGCCAGGCACTCGCACTTCTGAAAGTCCAAGAACCCATTGTGAGGGCGAGTACCCATTTGGCCGCGGAAAGGAGTTGCGGCACTGGGTGATGATGGTTGTGGCCAAAATCATGTCATCCAAGCCCTGCAACTGCATCTCTTGAACAGTCTTGTAGAGGATCTCCTTCCATAGAGCACCTGCGCGTTCAACCTTTCCATTTTGCCATGGAGCTTCCAAAGGAACTGTCTCCTGCTCAACTCCGTAGGTCTTGAGGTGGTCACTGAAGTAGGCAAGATACTCCTTGCCTCGGTCAACTTGTGCAGAATATGGAAGGCCAGCCCATGAGCTCCAGACAGTAAGAAAATGCCTGAGCACGGCTTTTGATGCAGGTGGTCCTCGAGCTTGGCCAAGACATGAAACAACCTGATAGCCTGTGGCATCATCAATGATGTTCAGGAAGGCAAAAGATTCACCAACAACGTCCTTGCCGTAGAAGACGTCGATGAGCAAGTGATGGTTGAAAACGTAGCGACCTGGAAGCCTAACTGGCTTAGGTCTTCTCCTTCGAATGCTGTCGCCACACGAATCACAGCTCAAAAGATCTGCTCCATCGATAGCTTCTGGTAGAGCTCCTTGACGTCGAAGGATTCTCTGCAAGGTTGTGTTGGTGGGGTGTCCAAACTGAACATGTAAATCTCGCAGGATCTTTCTGATCTCTGGGGAAATGGTGAGCCATCTTCGTCGACGTTCAGCCTCAGTGATGTTGAGCACTGGGTCCAAGGCTGAAGCCTGAATGGCTCGCACGGAAGCATCATCAAGTTGAGGTTGGTCTGGAAGAAGTTGCTGATCTTCAAGAGGCTGTTGAACCTCAGGTTGTAGAGGCAGTTGAGGACGCACATAGACGGGTGGAGCTGCATATTGTCCAACAAGTTGTGTAACCCGTCCTGCCCTTCTACGTCGTTTGGGAGATCTCCCTTGAAGTGGTTGTTCAGCTGGTCGTACTTCGGCAGGAAACATCTCATGAGCACCGCACACAGCACTGCTTTCTGCAGAGGCTTGCTGGATCATGGCCTGGATCACAAGATCGTTCAACTGTTCAGGCCATTCAGAAGCTTGAAGTGTGCGTGAGCCAAACTTGTTGTTTCCCTCGAGAGGTTCATGTGCATGTTGCCCATCACAACGACAGCCATTGAAAATGGATTCTGCTACAAGGAGAGAAGTGATGTAGATGGATGGTTTGAAGTGGGCTAACCCGCTTTCTCGATCTTTGTAACCAACTTGACATCCATCAACACGTATGGAAACCAAATCGCCGTTCTGCAACAGCTGGACAACATCAGCGAGTTCTTCTTCTTCTAGCCATTGTGAGCCAAGTGGCTGCTCGACAAAGACATGCCGATTGGCTTTGATGCGGTCCTTGACAACCTTGTTGACCAGTCGCAGGATGGGACGTCCTGCTTCACGTAGCTCCAAGACAGTGAGCATCGACTTGCCACCACGCGCCAAGTTGAAGCGCGACCAATTTCCCCATGGACCGCAAGGTTGGGTGATCACGGTCAAGAAGGGGTCCTCATAGAGCAAATCATGGCAAACTTGTTTGTATCCCTTGGATGTTGATGCATCCCAATCAGAGCTGGTCACGTCCAGGGGGACGCCGATAGAAAGTCCATAGAAGATGGCCAAAAGTGATAGGCCCATCTGACCAGCAAACAACTGTTTCATCCAAGTTTTGCCGTAAGGCGGCTTGTTGGACACTTTCTTGCACTTGCCGGTGAGAACTCGTTGGCGAAGCCAGTCTTCACCGTCCAAGTTGTTCTGCCATGACTCAAACTTCTTGCTCTTCTTATTGGTGGCCTTTCGCACGATGAACTGCTCAGGATGGTCGAACAAGTAATTGGCATCCTCGCACATGAGACCTTCATCTTGTTGAGGAAGAACGATCTCGCCACTGTCGATGGCTGCTTGGATGCTGGCAGCTTCTTGGCGCCACATGTCAAGGTCGGCCATCATGTCAAAGTAATCATCAGGGTTCATGCCGCCAAAGTCATGAGGTTGGTCATGATCGACCAGAGCAGCAGGATCAAAGTCCAGGTGATCCTCGGTGTGGAGCTGCTCAGGGGCATTCACTGGGCTTTCTGTGTCTTCGAAGGCAGCCAAATCAAAATCCAAAAGGCTGATGGCAAGGTGACCCTTGGCCGTTCGAATCAAAGGAAGTCCATCAATGCCCAGCTTCTTGAATGAAACAGTTCGGGCCCCAACATCAATGACGGTCTGCAGCTCTTCCATGAAAGGGCGTGAGAGGAGAAGAGGAAGAGCTCCTGACGCTTCAGCGCTGTGGAGTTCTCCATTGACTCCATGAATTCCGACAGGAAATACCTTGACAGTGTCGCTGGCAATCTGGCCACCAACTCCACGAAAAGATTGGTGTTTGGGGCGTCTTCGGCATGAAAGTCCAAGTTTGCCGAGCTCAAGCTCAAAAGCTTCCGCCCAATCCTTCCCGTGCATGGCTCGAGTGCAGCCAGAGTCCAAGATGGCCAACCCGGGAGGATCTTGTGGAGTGGAGGCAAAAGAGTCCAAGTCCAAACGATCGCCATGACGACTGTCATCATTGGTCATCAGAACTTCAAAGTCATGAACCTGAACGATCTCCGGATGTTGGATGTTGAAGCAAAGTGGCACCCGGATGCACCGGTGCGCAATCATCTCATCAGGATTTGAAGGCCGCTTTGCAGGACGAACTTCACCTGACTTCCACATCCGGGTCACGGCAGAGTGAAGCAACTTGCACCTGCCGAAAAGGTAGAATGAGAGCCGATAGAGCTCGGGAACCAAAGGCTGATTTTCCAGGGCAGCTTGCAAAATTTGCTGGCAAAATGCAGATGCCTCTGGGCTCGATGCAACTTGAGCATAGCTGTACCCCTCAAAGGGCGTTTCTGGACCACACAAAGTCATGTCGCATGGCAGTGGCTGAAGAACATCCTGGTCCTCATCCGCAAGAAGGGGAAAATCAGGAAGGTCAATTGTTGGCTTAATCAGCACACCATAGGCCCAAAAGCGAGGTTCTCGATCACGGACAATCTTGGCTGTCCTTGAGCTGCCATCAGCGCCAGTGGAAGAGGCTTGTTCACCAACCAAATTCCAGTCAACAGACTTGGGTGAAGGTGAGGAACCTGGAGAAGAGGCTGCTTGACCAGGATAACCAGGAGGAGGTCGCAAGGCCGCTCGCTGTTCACGGTCATGCAAAGCTTTGTCTCTTTCACGGCAAACGCTGGCAAAAAGCTCACGGGATCGAGCAGCACTGCCCCACTTTGTACAAAGGGCAATCTGAACAAGGTATCGCCACATCTGCTCGCCATCTTTGCGACGGCCAGAAATCACTGTGCAATCGCAGTCCTTGTTCTTGCAGCTCACATGACGTGTGTGGCCATTTGCTCCACGGTGGTATTCACGTTCATCTCCGCCAAGATAACTTGAGTGGGCGCAAAGTTTGGTGTCCTTCAACACCATCAGTACAGAAGAATCAAAGGAAGTGAAACAAACTCCATGTGCGCTGGCATTCTTTGTGACGTTGGATCCAGCCTCAAAAGGGGGGCTGCCTGCTGGAGGAACAGGCATCTGTGCGGTCACGGCATTGGGCTCATTCAAATTGGGCTGCAGCGCACGGCTCATGTCATTCTGATAAGAGTTGGTATACTGAGTCAGGCCGTCATACTGGGCAAGGTCGGCATACTCAGTCAGGAAGGCATTCTGTGGCACGCTGGCATTCTCAATCGCGTTGGCATTCAGGGTCATGTCGGCATTCTCAGAAACGTGGAAGGTGTTCTGAGTCGCAAAGGCCTTAAGGACCTTGGCATTCTGTTCAGCTAGATCATTCTTGGAAACGGTGGACTTGTCCCCAATGGCAAAGGCGAGGCAAGTCTCCTTCTCATCGTCGGATTCCAAACTGTCATGCAAAACGAAAAACGTGGTCTTCTTCTCATGTGGCTTCTTCTTGGGAGAGTTCGAAGAAGCACCCTTGTTCTTCTTCTTGTTGGGACAGGCATCATCTCCTGTCCAGTGTCCACGTTGATGGCAACTGGTGCATGTTGTCACGGATTTGAGAAACTTCACTGCGTTGTTTCTGGCCTCCTTGTTCTTGTCAAAGGAGATGTCACCACTGGCACGGAAAGGAAAAGACTGCGTAGAAGAGGACCCGGCTGGCCCCTTTTGCTTTCCCTTGCCCTTGCCCTTTTTCTTGTACTGCATGACTGTTGCCAAAGCGTCGGCAATCTCTGGATTCTCATCAAGGTCAGGCATGTCCTGGACCAGGGTGTCAAAGGTTTCATCCTCCCAAAAGGACTCAGCACCATCATAGGTCGGAGGCTCATAGTGCTCGTCAGCGTCAATGTCCTCGTGATAGGTCTCGTCGCCCTCATAGTCGCCATCATCATCGCCAGTCTCCAAGACCTCATCGGCGGTGAAAGATTGGTGACCACGGCCACGGCCCTTTGAGTTCATCTGACGCCATGCCTTCGGCTTGAACAAGATGCCGGAGTCACGATTGGGTTGAGGCTGACGTCCACAGCCAAGGTAATCCCTTCTGACAACAGGCTTTCCAGAGGCTTGTGGAAACTGCAACCGCAAGGCATGTGAAATCTTTTCAAAATTGTATTCATTTCCAACTGAACTCAAAACACTGACTTGTTCTTTGTGATCTAAACCACTGAAGATGAGCAACATCATGGCACGCAAGTTTGTGCTCACATGCGTGTCTTTGCTCATCTCTTCCAAACGCCTAAAGTCCTGCTCTCTGCGCACGATGTACTGCTGCATGCTCTCAGCAGGTCGGCGCCAGACTTGGGAACTGTAGAAGGCAGTGAGGAACAGTTCATTCACTTTGACAGGTTCAACTGCTGCTATGGCTGTTTTCAGGACTGCAAGGAAGTGACGCAACCCTTCATCAGTTGGAACCCCTTTTTCATCTTTCGTTTTCATCTTTGAATGCTCAATCTTCCTAGTAGCTTCATAGGCGGCACCACTCAACCCAGCTCTAAGGTGTACCGCTGTTGCAAGCTGAAGACTTTCTTGACCCTCTCTACCATGCCATAAATCCCATGCTCTTTCCTGGTACTCTTCAAACATCTCTGGGTCGCCGCTAAACTGGGGAACACCATGACGGTCGGTTTCCAGTCGCGACATTTCCAAGACACCTTTTGGTGAAGTCCCAGATCAAGTAGTGCTTGTCCAAGCACCGGCCCCAAAGAGCGGGTGCTGCAAAGGCCAGTTGTCGCCGTCGGCAACCAGCGAAGGAAACAGGCGCGGAGGAAGCGCAGGCAAAGCGCTAGGCAAAGACCCCTCACGGAAGGGCTCCGCCTACCATCAGAAACCTAGCAACGGCGTGCTGGCTGATAGCACCTCTTTTGTGCCTCGAAAGGGCGCCCTGCGGATCAGATGTAGTGGATATGTCGGAATCAAGTGGCAATCACAGTTATGATGGAATGTCCTCATGTCCAGTGCTAGTGGTATGATCCTGGGTATTTTCACATATAATAATATGATATATGAGATTTAGTATGCGGTTGAAACATCTTCACACCACCCAGCCAACCTTATCAAGGCACCCTCCAACCGCCGCTGCCCTGTCTGGAGCATCAGGTGGCTGAAAGATGCTGGAAGTACTGATGAGGGGTAGATATCGGCAACGCGACCTAGGCAAAGAGATGTCGACCCCAGCTAGGGTCGTCTCAAAATGGGCCGTTGCTTATGATGGCCCTCAAATTCAAGACCAACCTTGACTAATCATGACTGACCATTCTGATTTTCATGACTTTTCATGATTTTTCTACAGTTCTCTGCGCTTCAGCGTTTTGCGGGCGAAGCAATGTTGGCCTCGACCCAGGGGTGATACTCACTGCAGGTTTTCAGCTGTGCCTGCCATAGAAAATGATTGGGCCGATCATAAGCCTCCTCACTTGACCTTCGACACGTTCTGGCCAATCTTTAAGGCCAGCTGGTCACACGCTTTCTGGGAAAGCGTCGCCTCCATCTGCTGGATAGGGAGGTCATGAGCCTCCCATCCCCTGTACCCGCCCTCCAGGATCAGCACGCGCTGCTTGGACGGGCAGCTCTTTCGAAAGAAGTTGGCGACCTTGTTGCTTTGGTTTTCCCCTGCGGAAAGTGTTGCTTTTGAGGGGTTGTGGTAAACTCTTGAAATCAGAAAGCAATAGAAAACACATAATATTATAATATATATTATTATATATATATATGCACAGAAAGTGTATTGCTACACATGCATCCAGCCGCGGTGGGAGCTCGATGAGCTGAATACTGGCAAAAAAATGCCACAATTTGCTTTTCCTCAAAATCTTTGACGTACTTCCCGATCTCCTTGAGGAGATCCATGGCCGGGATGTTTTTCGTTCCTGGGATTGCCCCGCAAGCCCGATCTTGCCCACGCAAATCGATCACGATCATGCGTTGATGATTCCTGAGCTTTGACACACCAAAGGATTCTAAAATGCTTGGGTGATCTTGGGTGTCATTGGTCTCACTAGAGCCACATCATTTTGTGGAGACAAAACATGTAAAAACAATGCCATACTGTACCTCCCATGATGTAAACTTATGAAAAACGAGCCAGCTACACATTGGAAATCTTTAATATATATATTTTCATTTTTTTTATCATTTTGATTATCATTGCATTCATCATTTCTTTTATCATTTTTTATCATGTTTTTTCATCTTCATTTTTTATCATTTTCTTTATCATGTTCTTTTACATTTTTTTCATTTGTTCATTTTTTTCATTTGTTCATTTTTGTTGTCATTTTTTTATTGGTTGTTTCATTTGTACTTTTATTTGTTTTTTCATTTATTTTTCTTTTTTTATTTTTTTCATTGTGTTCATTTTATTTGTGTTTTTTCTGCAGTTTTCATTTCATTTAAAAGTTTTTCCCATTCTTTTGCAACCATTTGTTTCATTTGATGTTTTACTTATCCCAGTTCTGCTGCGTGCATTATTATTTTTGTATTGATGTTTCAAATATGTACATACGCATGGCATTTCCCACCAAACCCACCAAGCCCACCAAACCTAGGGTTTTTTTGATTTTTTGGATTTTTCTGATTTTTCTCAAAAATTACTCCAAAAGCTCCTCATTTTGACCCCCCTGGGGCTCCCTTCTGCCCTAGCCCTAGCCCTAGTCTGGCCATGCTCCTCATTTTGACCTCCTTGGGGCTCCCTTCTGGCCTTCCGTAGTCTGGCCATGCCTTCCTCCAGGACCCAAAATGGAAAGCACAGATCAAGGAGTGGAAGAACCAGCTTGGAGCCATTGGGTCTTGGTATCGTTTGCGGATAAAAGAAAAAACAATGCAACCACTATTTAAGAAAAACACAAGAATGAAAACAAAACTGAACAAAAAAAAGGAGAAAAAAACGGAAAAAATGAAAAACATAAAAAAAAAATGAAAAAAATAAAAAAAAATGAAAAAAATAAAAATGATTAAAAATGATTAAAAATGATCCTGAAATGATAAAAAAAAATGAAGATGATAAAATAAATGATAAAAAAATGATGAATGCAATGATAACCAAAATGATAAAGATAAAAATATAAAAAAATGACCTGGCCCAGTCTGTGGCTGCCATTTTGTCATAAATGTAAATCAACATTAGACTCATTTAGAGTCAATCATTAGAGAATCTCTTGGAATAATAAAGGCCTTGTGGGCAAAAAGGACTGGAACAACTGAACAACTTAACAAATTTTGAAGAGGCTCTGCTCCCAAAATTTCTTGAAGTCAATTGGGTGCATCCCCTCCACGCCTTGGTCCTTGGGCACTTGGCCATCAATCAGAGGCAGCTCCTTCCGCTCTGGGGGCTTCACGTGCGTGGACACCACCTGGGGCTTTGGGCATGGGAGGCCCACCTTGGGATTGGCAAGATGTCCTCGGGTGCTTTGAAGGGGGGCTGCATATATCCATTGCGATGGCTTCGCCACGGGCTTGACCACGTGCTTCACCATGGGCGCCACTGGCACCATGCGCCCTGGTTTCACCTGAGCAGGCAGCTGATGCACCTGTCCAAGCCATGGCTGCGCTGCCTGCGCATGCGACAGCACCACTGGCTGCCTCGGCACGGCCTGCCGCAACACCAAGCGTGGCTGCATCTGCTGCATCTGTTGCACCATCTGCATCTGCATCTGGATTCGGAAAAGAACGCAACACACTGCAGATTCGAAGCTGAATGGCGCGGCGTTGAGATGTAACAACCTGCAGCACTTGCTTCGACCTGAAGACATCGTGATGTCTCATGTCTTGCTTTTTGGCCAACCCGTTCTCCTTCGCTACACGAAAGGAAAGAATTAGGATGATTCGGTACGGACTTTGCTTCAAAACTGTAGCTGTGAATTCCGGGAGTAGACCCATGTCGTGAATCAACAATGGGTCCTTGTTGAAAAAATACTCATTCCTTTCCTGCAGGGTGCTTTTCCCACTTGTCCAATCTATAGCTCAACTCAGAGACCGTCGCAGCCATTTCCTCAGGTCCCAAACGTAAGGCCACCAAGCAAAGCCAAGCTATGCCAAGCTAAGGCCACCTGGAGACTCAACTTGGCAAAAAGATGGCAAATCAGCTCAAGCCTGAAAGGATCATCCATCATCATCCTCATCGTCACAACCATCGTCATGAGATGTCATGAGTCTCATGAGTATGCACTAGCAGTCGATCAAGGCACATGGCTATACCCTAGCTGCTTTTGGGCTGGGTGCAAGAGGCAGGACCTCTGTTACCAAGTATAAATACATGTAAAACATTGTAAAACTGTAGTAATAATGAATATGAAGACTTACAGTAATATGAATAATATGATATATGAGATTTAGTATGCGGTTGAAACATCTTCACACCACCCAGCCAACCTTATCAAGGCAACCTCCAACCGCCACTGCCCTGTCTGGAGCATCAGGTGGCTGAAAGATGCTGGAAGACGCTGGAAGTACTGATGAGGAGTAGATATCGGCAACGCGACCTACCCTGAGTCTCCAAAAATAGTAAATTTACTAATTTTCAAAATTTACGTAAATCGAAGAATTTAGGTTTAAAAAAAGTTGAAAAAGTCAAAATTAGTAAATTAATTTATATAGGTATATTTAGGTATATACCTAAATCAAACGACAAAGACAACGACAACAACAACGAAAACAACAATGAAAACGGCAACGACGACGACGACGACGACGACCTCATCATCATCATCATCATCATCATCATCATCACCATCATCATCATCATCATCACCACCACCACCACCATCACCATCGTCATGAAATGTCAAGAAATGTCATGAAATGTCATGAAATGTCATGAAATGTCATGAATAGCTAGCAGTGGATCAAGGCACATCGCTATATCATCAAAGCATATCATAGCACATCGGTACTGTATAGCCTATCCTACCTGCTATCGGGCTCCCCGGCTGTTGGGTGCAAAAGGCAGGACTTCTGTTAGGAAGTAAATATCATCTAAACTGTACATTAAACATGAAGATTGCAACAAATTTGAAACATCTTCAAACCACCCAGCCAATCCCAGCCAGCCCGACCAAAGCAAACCTCCCAGTGCCGTGGCCCCGTCTGGAGCCTCAGGTAGCTCAAAGCACTCGGCTGAGGAGTGGTAGATATCGCAAAGAGATGCCCACCTCAGCTGGCAGTCGGCTGGATCCGGGGATGGTTTCGTCTCAAACGGGACGCTGCTTAGGCCCTCAGCCACAATGCCACAAGCTTCAAAAGAAAAGATTCGAGACCAGCAAGACCAACATTGACTAACTGTGACCGCTCAGTTTTACCACTGTTTGGTGCACTTCAGCATTGTGCCGGCGAAGCAATGTTGGCCTCGACCACGGGGTGAAACTGACAATCTAAGTTTGGCAGGTATTCAAATTCGACCTGTGCCTGCCGCTCATAGCCACATGGCATTCAGCAGGTCAACTTGGAAACATCCTTCCCAACCTTCAGCGCCAGCTGGTCACATGCTTTCTGGGAAAGCGTCGTCTCCGTCTGCTGGATAGGGAGGTCATGGGCCTCCCATCCCCTGAAACCGCCCTCCAGGATCATCACGCTGCCCGTCCAAACAGCGCGTGATTCACGCGCTGTTTGGACGGGCAGCTCTTTCGGTAGAAGTTGGCGACCTCGTTGCTTTGGTTTTCCCCTGCTGAAAATGATCACCCAGCCTCTTTGGGAAGCTCCTTGGGAAGCTCCTTGGGAAGCTCCTTCTGTTCTGGAGCCATCACCTTCGTCGACAAAAGCTCTTGACATGGGAGGACCACCTGATTGGTGCTGCATCCTTGGTTGCGCTGCATAGGGGCAGCAAAAACCCAACGTAATGGCCTGGCCACGGGCTTGACCACGGCCTTCACGAACCGCGTTGGCATCGCCACTGGCATCGCCATGGGCCGCGCAGGATTCCACTGACCAAGCTGATGCACCTGTCCAAGCCACGGCTGGGCTGGCCGCGCATGCGACAGCACCGCTGCTTGAGCACAGCCTGCTGCACCAAGCGTGGCTGCATCTGCTGCATCGGCTGCATCGGGTGCATCATCTGCATCTGCATCGCTAAAAAGGAAAAAACAAAGCGCAGAAAAGCCCAAGCTATCCGGTGCTGAATGGCTCGGCGTTGAGATGTGGAAGTTGCTGCAGAACGAAACCTATTCGGTTTGCTTCGACCTACAGATCTCATGATATCACATGTCTTGCTTTTGGCTCACCCTTTCCCCTTCCTTAAACACACGGAAAGGACTTTGCTTCAAGACTGCAGTTTTGAACTTATGAACTCATAGGGAAAATCCATGAAAATCCATGCTCATTTCCTTCCTGCAGAATGCCTGTCCAGACTGCTTTTTCCACTTCTCTAGATAACTCACACATGATGTCTTAGGCAGATATTGCCTCAGGTCCCAAACGTAAGGCCTCCAAGCCACGCCATGGTCAGGCCCCACTGTTCACTATTCAATACTGTTCTGCTGCTCCCAGTTGGTCCAATCTTTGGCAGGATTCTACAGGGTCAACGTGAGATCCCTGAGGTCTTTGGACTATGCCGTGGTTGAGTCAACGCTGCTTGAGGATGTCATTCGATCTCATTGGCATTTCATGATCTTCATAACTTCATGATTCATGATGATTCATGATGGTTTTTACAGCTAAGTCCGGTAAATCCATGTAAATCCAGTAAATCTCGGTTGGGTTCTGGGCCTTTTTGGCAAGCTTTTGAAAGGGGCAGACGACTTACGACTTCGACCTGCCAAGCAGTTCACCTCCAAGTCTAAGCCCTGTTCATGCACGTTACCACCCATAGTGTACACGGGAACAGTACACATCGCACGTCTCCAAGCACCAAACTTAGAGGCACTGCAAGGGTACCGATCTGGAAGATCTTCATGTTGATTAGTATTGGACATTGTCAATATTGTTTGGATCCGATATGGATCCGATATCAAGATTCATCGGTTCATAGGGTACATTCGGTTACATCACCACTCTTTTGTTGATTGCTATCTTCATCGTAAATCGCTTGCATACTCACGGCTGGAATTCCTGGAACAACGAAAGCAGTGGTGCAAAGGTCCTTTTCCCAAGCTACCCTTGAGTAAGCCTCACGTACCCCACTGGATGCCACCGGTATTTTCGGCAGCCAATGGCTAATGTTGAGGATGCTTAAAGCCCCCAGCAAAGCATGTTCAAACTTTGGGACTGTTCCCTTGCGCTTTCCATCTGAACTGTCATGGGGTCTTCAAACGGACTTCGGACTATATCTATCAAACAATCGTTGAAAGCCGAGGCAAAGACGCTGACATCTGCAACGTCCAGTGTCCCTTAAAACCAGTCGGTGACAGGTGCAAAGCTTTAAATATCACCATGTTCGGCGACTGTTTCCCAAGCTGCGAAGGCTTCGAATGTCAAAGCTCTGAGGTGTTGTGCAGCCACTGTCTCTTCAAGACACGAGTCAGCACCCTTCGAGAGTTAGAAGGGCGTTGGATCAAAAGCTGTATGTACACCCTTGTGAGGGGTTGGGGCTGATTGTCAGCTCCATGTCTCTCCATTTTGAATGACTTAACAATCTTCACATTTCATTACATTTCAATACATGTCATCCTACCTACCTTCAAGCGCTACGTCTCTGCGGGACTTTCAGTTTTTAGGATTGGTGAAAGCGCTGCAAACGAGCACAGACCTCGCGATTCGCCACCATGTCGAGTAGAAAACCTCCCAGGCGATGGACCCAGATGGGAGACTCGGCCAGGATCAGTGATCAACCCCGCCTGCATGGGGTTGATCTTCAATCCAAAGGAGTTCAAGGCCTGTTTCCTGAAAAACTGAAAAGGCCCATGGAAAACAGATGAGATCAGATGAGCATGGTGGAACGCTCTGGAGAAAAACATGACTGTAGACAACAGACGAAACATCGCCAAATTTTCGAAGGTCCATTCGGTGCTCAGCCTTGCGACCAAGGATCTGAAGGGTTGCTTTTCGTGACTTTGGCCCTGGGGGCTTGAGATGGGTGTGAAAAGGGGGAATACCCCTGGCGATTTTGGGAGGGAAAATGACTATGATATACTACTGTATGATAGATTATGATAGTGTATCATTTAATGATACCATTGGATTTTGGGGCATCATGGTATCCTATTTTCAACACAAACCAACTGCTTCCCAGGCAATCCAGCAGCTCTTGGATCTCACATTCACATCTGGCAGCTTCCAGTCGGCTGGCATCTTGGTGGATGTTTAATCAATGCGTGGCTCTGAAAATATAGCACCTCATCATCCCAAATCCCATGAAGTTCATCATATGTTTTTCTTGTAGAAAACCACGGGCTGGGTCAATCTCCCCCATTTTCAGACCCGACCGGCGACGCGCGACCCGCGGGTCGCCTCCGACTCTGTTCTGCGAAAATCAGACTCCTCACCTGGAGTGCAGGCCAATGTGGCTTGTCTCAATATGGTGGCTGCCATGAAAATGAATGAACATGAGGTAAAATCATGAACCAATATCACCAACCCCACGATTTTGGGGATTCAAAAAAATCTGAGGCTATGACAACTATGACAATCATCATCTCTCCAGTGTACACTGCACAGCCAACTTCAGCTATGTATCAGCTGAGTGGCTGAATATGTCGGAACAATGAGATCTTCAGATTCCAACACGATGAGGCTCTTGGTACCTGTGACGAAGGCGGTGATCTCAGGCAGGTGGTCGATACAAATATCTAACCTCACCAGCACACTTGAGCCACTTGGAATGCTCAGATTGTTTCATGTTGGGATTTTCGTCATCCAACTGCAGTTTGTCATGGAGACCAATTGGACGACGGAACGAGAAAATTCTCAGTGTCGGAAATGGTTACAGTATTGGTCAAAATGGAGTACCCGAAAGTTAGATAGTTCAATATCAAAATCTCAATCTACAGGGCCTCCCGGCCTCCCGGATTACTAGCCAACAATGCACTTCTTTTGCAACCTCGTCCGGGTGCATTTTTTTTTGCTACTGCTCCCCATTGCTACCCATTGATGCATCTGCCGCTGAGGTACCTTCCAAGTCTTGCATGTCCTCATTGGTGCCAGGTTGCTCTCTGGATAGCTGGATTAGGAGGGAAATATATTCGCAGCAGGCTTTATTTGAGTGTGTCATCAGAAATGAGGAATGCCAGAAAATCGCATTTTGATTGGAAAAAACAATGACTAGTCTTTGGGGGGTCCTGTTTTCAAACAGACCCATAATACATGTAAAGGCTTTATCTTAAAAGCCACATTCCAATGTATGACATGACTCTGAGTTTGTTTCAGGTTGCTGTGAGGTACCAACACAAATCCAGTCCACCTTCCAAAGACAATGCTACTGGACAAAGAACTGCAGCACAAAGGCCACTTCGCAAACATGTGGCAACCCGTGCAGTACTTGAATCTTTCCCCATCAAGTTACGTAGGACTCTGAATAAAAACAGTACCACCTTGCCCCTTCACAAGGTAGAAAAAAAATGTTCAGAGGCTGTGTTTTTTCGTTGCCTGCAAGGTGCTAAGTTTGATTCTTCCCAGAAGAAGCAGCGGCAGACGAAGTTGCAAACGAACAGTTCAGTCATAACGAAGTATTTGATGGCAATTTCCATCCTCAGCTGTCGAGGGTCCAGGACATCTCCACTACAAACCATCTTGGGCCATGGGCAAGAAATCAGCACAAACTCCAGGAAGTATCCAGGAAATATATGGAAATTTAACACAATCCGAGAGAAATCAATGAAATTCACCAGCCAATTCCATGACTTTCCCAGAATTCTCCCAGAAGCCTTCTCCCAGACTAAGTGACGGACGGATCCATCACATTGTCATGCCGCACTTGTTGCAACTCATGGCCTCCCGGCCGGGGGGGGGAGTCACATCCCCATCTTTCAATTGGACAAACCTACACAAATCTCGGCAAAAACAGAAACAAAAACCACATTTCTGGGAAAAAACATGGCAAAACTCCGAGAATCTGGGAAAAGGTCTCCAACATCTGGGGAGAGATTCCGGCATTAGCGCACATCTCCCCAGAATCGATTGAAAAATGAGATCTGAGATGATCTGAGTATCTGCCCGCCTTGGACCAGGATCTTCAGGACCAAAAAGCACACGGGATCGATCAAGGTGGTCCTGGAGATCCGAGATCGTCCCATGAAAATCATGAGTTTTTCACACACCAAAAGAATGATGAAACACCATTGGACCAATTGGAGTATAAAAATGTATAAAGTGGAATGATGTGGAATGTATAGTGATGTATACCACTGTTTTCCATTTATATGGAAAAACTAAATGAACATGATGAAACACCATTAGAGTTTCGGGGCACAAGCAAGGTCCGGACAAAACCCATCTTTTGGGAGACACAGGCTTGGACGGAAGCTATATAATTGGATGCACACTGGAGCTGGAACTTTTGTGGTGCCTGTTTAGGAAGAAAGGACAAACTTTGTTCGATGTTGCCTTGCGCCATTCTGGTTTTCACTTTGTGAAGGTCAAAATTTGAGACTCTGGGCCCGCAAACGTTGGTCATGTTCACTCTTCAATCATCTATTTTTGAAAATTAATTGATTCACCGTCACCATCCCCAGAGCAGAAAAGCAAAGCAAACAACTGTACAAGTTTGTACAGGGTCATAATGAATGAACAAAACAGTATCAACCCTATTAGGGGGTAACGAATCAAAAAATAAAATTGGGATCAAAAAAGAGTTATTTATTGCCGGAGATTAAACAAAAACCGTTGTTGGGATCAAAAAACATGTCCAATTGTAGGAATC